CAAAAGATATACCTGCAAATGAATTATTATCTAAACCAGACATTTGATTTAAATAATTTAAAGCTTGCTCCATAACTAATGATTTCTTCTGTTCGATACTTATTTCTCTATTGCAGTTGACAGCAGTGCTTTTTTGGCCTAAAAAGTCGCTGATTTCTTTCTGATCATTTATTGTTTGTAGGATTTCATTTTCAATACTAGGGACTTCCTCGGTTGTTGATGCTGTAAGAAATTGTTGCCGCTCTTGTTTATACATAGCCACCACATGAACATGCTTACATGTAGTACTTTTCACAGAATATTCAACACATTCACACTTATACTTATGAAAGCACACCTTACATGCTTCACAAAACATTTCACGGCAATTAGTATACATGCACTGCTCCTTATATAAAACTTATCTTTTTGAGAAGACCTAATGATAAAATGTCCAAATCCTTTCTCTTGAATGCAGTTCTTCATTGTTTCTGCTTTTTTATGAGCTAACACAACAACTCTTCCCTGATAAGTGTTTCTGTTCGGTCGTCTTAAAGTTATAATTCTTTTCCACATCTTGTCATCTACAACTTCCTCCAATATATTCAATAATTTTTCCAGTCGAATGTATCCATTGTTTCTCAGCTTTTCTCGTTTAATATATCGGTTTAAACTTTCCAATGCCATATTCGTGTTTATTCCAACTCCTTTTCTAAATAATTTATTACACTATTATTTTTAGAAATTAAATAAATGAAAATTATACCTGTAACAATATGCCCAAGACTGGATTCGTGCATCTTCGCAAAAGTAATACCTGAAATTAATTATTTTTAAATAGATCATACAAAACAAAAACAGTACTTTTTGACTTACTGCTGTATTTCAAAAAATCAAATTCGCCTTTTTCCTGTAATTTCATAAAATATTCTTGCATATACTTTTGGAAATCTTCAACTCTGGTTGCTGTTAAGATTTTTCGCATTTCTGTTTTCATAGACTTTCTCATTTCTAAATCCTTCAATTTTCTCTTCCCTATATAAAAATGTTAGAATAAGTTACAATAACCAGTACTATGTAATTTTTATGGGTATATAAAATTAAGGTTCACCTTGAATATTCCAATTTTTCAAAATATGCCAGGAGCATAACAGTTTTCTTGGGTTACTTTCCATAGTTTTAATCCAAGCATTGTAATATTTTATATCATCATCAGTCATTAAAATGTTTGTTGATATGTTTATCGGTCCAAGTTTTTCTTTCAATGCTCCTAAAAACATTTCTTGAATAATCTGATCTTGCCTATTAGAAACCATAAATGCCACAGGGAAACCAGCTTTGGTTTCATCTTTCACCAATACAGTAGTGAGTTCCCATCCTTTATATTTAGTTATCCTATGCGTCCCATCTATGCAAACTAGATCACCAAACTCTCTAAATTTCCTCTCCATGGTATTATTCATAAAAGCCAAAGCAAAATCTTCAACTTTCAAAACAGGATGTGCTTCCCCTACAATACTTATTTTTACCACCAACCAAACCATCACCAAACATGCACCATCAAAAACAAAATGAACAAAACCAAAGAAATAAAAAAAAGGTGTAACATATATACTTATTATATCCCAATAGTGCTGAACAACTTTCATATTTAAATAGTTTTCAAGATATCAAATAAAAACACACTATATTGAATAAAAAAAAATACCTGATTGTTTGAACAAAAAACAGAAGTTTTTATCATATGCATTCCATTCATTAACTTTCATTGCTACCGCAACCATGTCATTACTGTGCCTTCTACCTTCAATATTATTTCTTCTCATTAAGTTTGTCAAATCATTTTTAGTCACTAAATTTAATCTGGAGGGTATACTACTCTGTTGTTGCCTGGCATTTTTTATTATCCGATCCGTATTTACTCCTGCTTGCAACTGTTCTACCAAATATTTCTGATCAACCTTCGATAACCGCTGTGTTCTAACTTCTGTTTCGTGTCCTACATGTGTATAATTATGTATAACCATAACTTCTCCTACATAAACATAAAAATAATATGATAACTATTAATAAGGTCTAAAAAAATATCAATATATTTGTGCACATACCCTCAGGTAAAAATGTTGCAATTATTCTTGATGGACACGTTCCGTTAATTTTAATACTTCCACCTGTTTTTAAAATTTTCTTGCTGCAGTTGCTAATATACCCTAGAATATTCCCTCAAATTTAACTAGCTAAATCTACATTACATGTATATTAAAGTTAAAAAAGTATAACAAAAATATTAAATGATTTTGGTGTGGCAGAATTTGCTCACAGAAGGATGGATCAAGTAAGTTGTATATTATAGGTCTTTTCCTTTGCATCGAAAGTGTAGCACTGAGCTACGTCACTTCTGAAAATATCGTTCCATCCATACAATTTGTATATATGGAACGATATTTTCAGAATTGGTGTAGCCCAGTGCTACACTTTCGATGCAAAGGAAAAGACCTTATATATAGTATATTTAAATTTTGATTGTTTTCGCCACTTCAAATTTAGATAAATTTAAAAATAGGGCCTTATTTTAGATTTACCTTGGGTATCACTTCTATTACAATTGTAATATATTTTTGTTGAAGTTTTATTCATACTGTTGTTCTGAATTACATAATCTACATCTCGGTTTTCTCTACAGCGCCAATTTTCAAAACCGTCCTTATTATTGAAATGATAGGTCTTTTGTTCTACATTAATCTTATGAGTTTCTTGTAAATGTTTAATATATTCCATGTATGTTCGATAAGCACCAATAACCTAAAAAGTTATTATTTTAAAGCAAAACATTCTAGGTATTTTTATAACAAAAATAACAATACCTTTGTAACTGAGCAAACGATACATATTATGTGACTTTTTTACCACTTGACTGAAAGAATAGTACTTCATTTTCCTTATTATGGATATTTTTCAAGTGCCGATTAAGATTAAATTTCTTTGAAAATCCTTGCTTGTAATATTCGCAAGTTAATTGTTTACAACTAAAAATGTTACTTTTGCAGGAACCTAAGTCGAAGAACGGTTGAACTTACGTGTTATTATCCATTTTAAATCAAAATGATATAAAGCTGAAAAAATACACTCAAAACCTGAAACGCAAAAGTAATCGCGAAAATTATAGTGAAAACTTGCTCCTGCGCGTGCCAAAAGTAAACACACTTCTTTAGTCTGTAAAATAAAAACTAGAAAACACAATTTGTCTAAAATTGAGTGTGAAATTCTCCAAATTTCCAAATTCGAGAAAAGATCTCAAAAGAGAGGTTAGTTTAGCGCGCCAACGCCAAACGTAAACATTTAAAAATTTAATGCGATGGGCCTGCTCAGAGCCGAGAGCCGGCGGGAGCTACCGAAAGCCAACGAGAGCCGCACAACAAAAACGGTATCCTCCGCCTTAAGTACCCTCCTAGACATTCAATCTCTACATGCACGCTGAATAAAGCCTTGGTTTCTTTGAACACTTCGTCGCGGTGAGCGGACAGTCCGTCGACCGTCGCGTTTTGACGATTTTATCCAACCAGAGTATTTAAATGGGAATGGTTTTCTTGAATCCGCTTAGCTGAGCAGGACAGAAATGTGACGACTGATAATTGGTTTTCATCTTGTCATTTGGCTGAAGAACTTAGAAATAATAAACTAACTTTAGTCGGCATGCTCAGAAAAAATAAGAAGGAGATACCAAAATCATTTATTAATGTAAAAGGACTTCCTCCTGAAACATCAAGATTTTTGTACGATGATGAAAAAATGATAGTGTCGTACGTCCCAAAAAAATAAAAACGTAATTCTAATCTCATTCATGCATTCCCTTGGAGATATAGATCCACTTACAAACAAACCCAAGATAATAGAGTTTTACAACATGACAAAAGGTGGAGTGAATATTTTTGACCAGTTGTGCCATTCTAAAACCACAAAAAGGAAATCAAACCGTTGGCCTATGCGGTACTTTTTTGGTGTTCTTGATGCTGCTGCAGTAAATGCCTTCCTAATTTATAAACTAAATGTGGATAACCCTGTGTCTGAAAGACTTGTCATTCGCTTTAACAGCTAGTCATATGGAGCAGAGAATGGAAAATTTAAGAATAACAATTAGTTTACGAACGCAAATTAGTGCCTTGCTGAATAAAGAACTTCCCGTTGCGAGCATGGCTGATGATACCCATGAAGTTCGTTCTAAAAGACCAGGTATCTGTGCCTTCTGTGATAGGCAAAAGAAAATAAGAGGAAACCATACTTGTGGCCACAAACGAATTGTTTGCCCCCAACATTACAATATCAATAAATAACTTTTTTATTTTTGAAATGTTTATAGACGTTTAAATATTTGTTGGTCTTCGAATAAATCTTTTTAAATTCTAAATAAGATATCTTTTATTTATTAATACCTTTATTATACAAAATAATGATTAAATAAGGGTAGTGTCGTATCCGACTTCACCTGGTGAGATATGTCCCAAGGTTCACCTGGTGGTACTAGAGTTAAAAATATTGGAACCAATAAAAATTTACGAAGAAAACAATGGCTGTATAAGCATTGCAAATAATCCTAGCAAACATAAAAAATGTAAACACATTGGTAAAAAGGTAATAATGCTAAAATACATTTCCATAGGTAATAAACTTACCGATGAATTTACGAAAATTTTACTATCAATAAAATTTTCGGAGATAATATTTATAAAGAAGCTAATCATTAAAATCTTTTAAAATGGCATAATTTAGAAGTAGCCACTTTAAAAAAATCAAGATTTTATATTTTTATGATTTTATTATATTTATATTATACCTATCGGAAATAATTAAGAGGAACACCTGTTTTAAACAATAGATTTAACATCGTATGATAGATCCAAAGGTCTGTTTAATCTCTTAAGTGGCTTAGTCGTGTATGTTCGGATTTAAAAAAAAAATAAATATATATATATATAAAATGTTTACTTTTATTTTGAGTTTAGTGAACTAAAATTGAAATAATCATGTGGGGTGTAAAATTTATTGGTATATTGGCTTTAGCATTTGTTGTCTGTGGTAAGAAACTTCACAATACTATACTATAATTGAATTAATTTTTTTTTAATCATTTCAAGCTATAAATATTTAAGAAAATTTTATATACAGGGTTGGCCAAACCTCTGTCGTAGTTCTATAACTCCTACTATGCAAATCTTAACGATTTATTTGATGTATACCTGTCAATGGTGGCCAATACCAAATATCCCAAAATTATTTTCTTGTGTACAGGGTGGCCCAATAGTAAATTAGGCAAATCACTTAATTTTTTTTAAATGGAATGACCCATCTTTTTTTACAATTTTAGGTACTCTATGGTCACTAGTACATACCCACAAAATATTGTTTCTAACATCCCACCCCTTTCGCAGAAAAAAAATATTACATTTTCAGACGCCTATTAAAATATGCAGTGCTCTCTCGAATTTGATGTTAGAATTTAAAAAACTACGATTGTATAAAGACAATAGACCAAAGATTTTTTTTGACCAAGTTTGAATTTTTTATTTTGTACAGGGTGGTTTCAAATTAATTTCACTTTCCAAAGATTTCGAGGGAAATTTTTTAAAATTTTTCAAATGTATTACCCTGTATTTCTATTTATCAACTGAAGGAGAATTTCATACCCTTCGACTTCCCTATGTACTTTCCTATACCTATCTGTCGCCGTTATAAAATAAATTCAAAAGGAAGAAAATTACGATAATAAAATTTATTTGAAATTTATCCTAAAACATAAATTTACATTTTATAAAAGATGCTCAAAATGTCTGCCATTTTCTCTAATGCATACATTTATTCGTTGGGCGAATGATCGAGAAACGTTTCTAAGCATATCAGGTGTAATGGAATGGAAAGCTTGCACTATCCTTTCTTTCATATTTTCAGGTGTTGTAGGTGGCGTAAGATAGACTAGATTTTTAATATAACCCCACAAAAAAGAATCGGGTTTTGTTAAGTCAGGTGATCGAGCTGGCCATTTTTTTGGACCATTTCTACCAATCCATCTATTTGAAAACTTTTCATCTAAGTCATCTGCCACTTCGCGTAAAAAATGCGCTGCTGCCCCATCATGTTGGTACCACATTGTTAGTCTTACAGCAAGGGAAATGTTTTCAAGTAAAGTAGGAAGATGATTTGCTAAAAAATCTAAATACATCAGACCATTTAAGTTGCCTTCAAAAAAATACGGTCCAATAACATGATCCCCAATTATACCTCCCCAAACATTTACACTCCATCTTTCTTGGCTATGTGTTCTGATGATGTTAGGATTTTCCGTGGAATAATAGTGGAAATTATGTCTATTAACGAATCCGTTCTTGTGGAATGTAGATTCATCAGAAAACAGCACTCTATAAAAAAAAAAAAAAGGATTTTGGATTTTGTTTGTGTCCAGTTACAAAACACCATTCTATTATCAAAATCGGTGTCTTTCAGCTCTTGATGCAATTGTAATTTATAAGGATGATATTGATGCTGTTAAATCCTTCTAACGGATGTTCTACTTATACCTACTACTTCGGCAATCTTTTTTTGACTTACATGAGGATTTTCTATCGCTGTCAAAATTACAGATAATTGTTTATCATTATCAGTAGCACGTTTGTCAATTATTGGTTTTTTATAAGCAACATTTCCTGTTTCGGTAAATCTTTTATGTAACTTTTCAAAACTTTTTTGATCAGGGATGCGTCTATCGGGATATCGTTGATGATAAATTCTTTTTGCCAATAAACAATTTCTGTCGGATTCTCCCAAAACATAGACCATGTCAATTAATTCGTTTTTCGTAAAATTCATTATTAATAGAAGAATTATCGCGATCAATAAAAATAACTTGACACTTCATTAATAAATAATCTGACACTTCATTAAAACCCAGCCTACTTGATTGAATGTTCACTTTCAATAAAACCACTGGTAGAAATTGGATTTTTAATAGATCAATGTCTTTTTGGAATTTACTTTTAAACGACGACAGATAGGTATAGGAAAGTACATTTGAAAAAAATGTCCTAGAAATTTTTGGAAATTGAAATTAATTTGTGACCACCCTGTACAAAATAAAAAATTAAAACTTGGTCTAAAAAAATCTTTGGTCTATTGGCTTTATACATTTGTAGTTTTTTAAATTCTAACGTCAAATTCGAGAGAGCACTGCATATTTTAATAGGCGTCTGAAAATGTAATATTTTTTGGTATTTCTTCTTTTTCTGCGAAAGGGGTAGGATGTTAGAAACAATATTTTGTGGGTATGCACTAGTGACCATAGAGTACCTAAAATTGGAAAAAAAGTTGGGTCATTCCATTTAAAAAAAAATAAGTGATTTGCCTAATTTATCATTGTACACAAGAAAATAATTTTGGGATATTTGGTTTTGACCACCATTGACAGGTATACATCGAATAAATCGTTAAGATTTGCATAATAGGAGTTATAGAACTACGACAGAGGTTTGGCCAACCCTGTATATTTAAGCTCGCATATAGTTTGTTCTTATAGTTTAATATCCGAAGTAAAGTGGACCTTCACCCATCTATTTAATAGATAAAAGTTTTGTTTTATATGGAAATTTTCATATGACGTCACAAAATTGGAAAATAGCAATATTGGGAAGTAGTTGGGAGGGATACTTTTAAAAGAAAAAGATTTTGGATCAATAATTTATTATTGATTGTCAGCGGGAATAATAAATGTCAGAGGGGAAATTGAAATTTTCAAAAAAATAAAGATGGATTATTGAATTATATATATATTTATAAAATCATAAATTAGAAGAAAAGCAGAAGCCTGTAAAGGTAGCAGATAAGCAAAGATAGTTAAAGGAAAGCATACAGGTAGAGACACGGAGACATACAGAGACAGGGAAAGAAAGAGAAAGTAGGAGAAGCAGCGGCAGGACAGAAGCAACAGCAGTAGCAAGACGAAGGCAGCAGTAGTACAAAAGCATTAGCAGCAGAAGAAGAATAAGAAGAATAATTGCGAATTGTGTTTTGACTGATGACGAAGTTGTAGCTACGAATTATATGGACAGTTTATCAGTAGTGCCAAAGTGCATAGTAGCATAGTTCTTTTGTTAATTTATTACCACTAGAATCATGAGTTCACGCATGGGCGTCGTTACACAATTCTATAGGGGGGGGGGGGGGCAAAATTTTGAAAAAACACACACATCATCGCGAAAATAGTCAAAACGGATTCAGGGGACCTCAAAACGTAAAAATCCGTCGAAAACTCGAGGTCGAAAAAATCATGATTCCTATACTTTCCTTATATCTGTATACAGATAGGAAAGTAAAAGGAAATGTGATTCGAAGTTTTTGTTTTATTGATTTTTTATCTTGAAATGTTTGTAATGTGTTTTTTTGTTGTGTTAATATTCTTTCAAAATAAATGCACTGAATAATTGTTTTGATCATGTTTATACCTTAATAATAGATTGAAAAATTAATTGTTAGGAAGGGGCGTTTTAAAAGTTTTGGCCCGGGGCGCCGCTGGTGCTTAATCCAGTCCTGTTACCTTCGTCAAATATACAAATTCCAGATCATAATTAATACACTTTTATATTGCAAACAGGAAAATAAACCTAGAACATCCTTGTGTAATTGTATCTGTTGTAGACAGTATTGTGTACAAAAATTTGTTAGAAATCAAGTCAAATGCGATAGGACCAGATCTTGTTCAACTTAACATGCTACTTTTGGGTTGTCCATATATATTGCCATTTGTCACCCATATTATTATTTTCTGTATAGAAAATAGTGTTTTTCCAGAGCAGTGGAAAGCTTCTAAGATATTACCATTGCCAAAAAAAAAGAATATTGCTAGTATAAATGAGATACGGCCTATTTCGTACTAGCAGTTTTGTCTAAAATAATTGAGAAAATTATTAAACTTCAAATTTATTTACATCTAAATAAATACAATAGTTTACCCACACATCACTCACATCAGTCAGGATTCAGTCAAGGATATAGTTGTAAGACAGAAAATTTATATATTACAGATGATTTATTTAAAAAAACGATTATCCAAAAGCTTTCGATACAATTAACCACCAGATTTTGTCAGCCATCTTAAAATACATAGGATTTTCAGATAATGCTGTTAAATTTTCAAAAAATTATTTATATGACAGATGCCAATGTGCAGAAACTTCCCAAGTAGATTAAAAATTAAAAGCATTCGTTGTGGAGTACCACAGGGCTCTATTTTAGGGCCAATATTGTTTCCAATATATACATGCAATATTTGTAGTATTTTAAATTTTTGTTGAAACCAACTGATAATGTTACTAAGAATTTAGTCAAATAGTAAAATAAAATATTTATTATTTGATGGATATGAGTAAAAGTAAGACATAAATAATAATAGTGTTACCCCTAACATCAATCAACAAATTTATAACAAGTGGATACATTTAAGTTTCAACAGTTTGTTTTTGTATAATTGTAATAGCAGTGTAATTATTTTTTTTCAGCCACTGACCTCGAAGAAGGTTTGGCCATCATGGCTTGTGCCAGTAGAGCTATGAAAGTTGGAGTTCCTTCATTGGGCATTCCAACCTATAATCCTCTTAAGCTGAAAGATATAATTTTTGAAAGCGACGACTACCCATTGGTGTAAGTTTTTTAATAGCATTCAACTATGTTGAGCTGACGAATGACTCAAATTTGCCGAGTTTTTGGTTACCATACCACCGACCCATAGGTTATCAAAGGCTTTATGACTCTGGTAGTCCCAATTTTTCCGCACAACCTATTGACCTATTGAACATGCATACCACAGAAACGCTTTGCATTTGTGGGAAATAATCTATTCTTATACCTATTTTATATAAACATTAATTATAATTATCGTAAACATATATTTCAAATTGTAAATTTTTCATAAACAATATTTTCAGGTTCAAATTCGAATTCGATAACATAACCTGGGCGGGTCTTCCCAACTGGAACTTGTCGGCAATCCAAAAAAGCAAAGACTCTGACAGCGATGCTGTCTTCGATTACGAACTCTACTGGAAACATATAGAATTCGGTGCAAAAGTCTACAATGAATCTGTCGTCTCCGAAATTTTCAAGTATGTTTTTAATTTTTATATAATATAATAATATAAAGACCACCTCAATCAACAAGCCGCATTTTATAGAAACGTCCGAAATCTAAGGCTATCCAAAAGACTGACTTTCACCTTTCTAAAGTCTGCTGGTCTAAAATCTGAGACTGAAGGCTTTCTGATTGCTTGCCAGGATGGGGTAATCAATACTCTGATATACCGTAGTCAATTTTCTGAAGTTGCCGACGTCAGATGTAGAACCTGTCGCCAGCGTCCCGAATCACTTATGCACTTGTCAGCTTGCCCTGTGCATGCTGTTTCTAGCTATATTTACCGGCACAACGCGGCTTTTCGGGTGCTTTATTATCACCTGCGACATGTCTATGGTATGGATGAAACACCAGTGCTACCTTATGCTCCAGGAGACATTGAGACAGTAGTGGAAAATAATAACTGTCGCATTTATTGGAACTACGCTTTTTCTACTACAACACGTCTTCAGGCGATTAAGCCAGACATGGTCTTGCTGGATAAGCAGATAAACTCGAAGTACATCATAGAGTTTTCCGCTCCGGCAGAAACAAACATTGAGCTTAAGGAGTGAGAAAAGCGGGCCAAATACATAGAACTGCTTGGCGAATTGCGCAGGCTATATCCTGAGTACACCATATATTTTGTAGTCCTTATAATCGGCGTTCTTGGAGGGACTAATGACAATATTTTGATAGAGCTGAGGAAAATACAGGCATGCCGTGCATCGCTCGAACATCTAGTGATGAACATGCAAAAAGCCGTCTTTCTCGGTTCAATGCGTCTTTTGAGGCAAATGAGTTTGGCCGACGATCACTGACCGAGCGGACGCGAGGAGTGATCGTCTTTACGATGACCTTCCGCGTAACGCCCTGTGGGGTCGGAGCCACAGGATACGTCATGACGGAACTTTAACAAAATAATAATAATATTTAATAACAATAATAATATTAATAATAGTTCAAATCCCACCGTTGGCCAATATTTTTTTATTTAATTTAATTATTTAAAAAACAAAAATTATTCTGATGTCTTGGTAGGATTCCCCACTCGACCATTCACTGTTGGATTCTAATTAGCAGTGCTGTTCCTAAAATGGCGCTGAGAAACAATGACAAAGCCTACACAGAATACGCGGCTAATGGCCTTAGTAGTCGATGCCGATGACACCCAATTAAAATAATAATAATAATAATATTAATATATAGTGTGTAATAATAGTATGAAGTTGCCAATCTCCCATCCAGAGCATCCCCGTGTGGTAGATAGGGGAATGCTTCCCAGATATGGGTGGTACCGATGGAATCGGCGTGAACCAAAATGGGCATTAAGGAGTAAACCTTAGCAAAAATCCATAATCTAAGGTGTAAGACAACGTGCCAAGAGATGCATGGCTATACGGAGTTAGTCTCGAATGATTCCATGTGAGAACCAGGCAACCCTCACTTGTATTTTCGCCTTACCGTAGTAAGAGAGCACTGCTGCGGTGGACCTTTAGTTCTGTCCTACTCGTGGGAACAATATGTCATCCAAAGATAAAACTCCCAAACTTCCGGAGATGCCTTCCGTCCCAAAACAGAGACAACATTAAAACGAATCAGGAAAAGACGGTTCCGCCTCGGTTTTTGATGGTTAAAAGGAGATTTTTCAACTACAAATCCCTTTTTAATTCAGAAATATTTATACGGAAAAGTGGCGCAAGTAAAAAATGTTCGGAAAATTAGAAAAGGTTCGCTAATTGAAATTAGCAGTGCAGCACAGTCAAGGCAAATATCCCAACTCACAAATTCCTTGGAATTCGACTTACTAATGCTAAAGGTGTGATAAATTGTAGAGACCTGTTGAATTGTACAGAGCAAGAAATCCTTGAGGAACTAAAAGAACAAGGTGTTATAGATAGAAGAAGAATTAAACGAAAAAAAGACAGTAAACTTATAGATACTCCGATCCACATCTTAACGTTCAATGTACCCAAATTGTCACAAGTAAAGGCTGCATTTTACAATCTTAGAGTTCAATTTATACCTTTTTCTTTAAGATGCTTTAAATACCAATGTTTTGGCCATACTTTAATAAGATGCGTTAAAGAACAAATCTGGGTATGTAAAAAATCCTCCATATGGGCAACCCAAGAAATCCACCAATAAAATGTGTAAACTGCAAAGGAGATCATTCGGCAAGATCAAAAGACTGTTCAAATTATAAACAGGAAGTTGCAATATAAGAAATCAAGGCGAAAGAAAACATATACTATACTGTTCTTGTACACACGCCGAACCCGAATATTTCCTATGCTCAAGATATTGCTCCTCCGACTGTACATAGTCCCACTATTAATGCCGAAGAATTAGTAAAAAAATAATTCCCTCACTTAGTTAGTGCACTTTATATTCCCCCACCAGAACTCCCACAACCCACCATGATACCTCCACCCCAAAAAATAACTGTACCGGACCCCTAACTCCCCGATACAAAAACGATATAGTTCAGATATCGAATCTATAACCTGGTTCATCATCTAAAAAACCTAAACGAGGTTTAAAAAAAGGAAGACCTAGGAAGAAGAAAGATCCTGACACAAATGAAGATTGTAGTGAAATTCAGAAAACTCTATCTCAGTCAGAAGCGATCAGAGATAACCAGGAGATGTAACTATTAACAAATATCGTGCGGCCGTGAATAAGACATATTCTAAGGGACACAGTAGGGTATAATCACAATATATTGTGGGTATAATATCCGCTGTTGTCATTGTTAGTAAAGTGTATGTATTAAAATATTCGCTCAAGAAAACGATTCACCTCCCACTCTTTTGTCACATAGCTGAATTTTTCACAGATGAAAGGTCATGATAAGGTAACCCTTTTTCCGGAGTTAATACAAAATTAGACTGTGCAAAAGGGCACTATCATCAAAAATCCAGATATTGATACCACCGAATAGAGAAAAAAATACTAATTTTTTGGTCAAATGCACAATAAAATCTTTGTAGGGCGTAATTGTTTATACTTATTTAAAAAAAATCATTTGCATTAGCACTTACGGCCGAAAAAAAATATAAACGTAAATATCTTGGTTTTAGTCCTTCAAAAATTTAGTTAAAAAGTCGTCTTTTTTAAATATACCACTCATTTAACAAAAAACGAAGGCCTAAATGAAAAAAAAACATTCTTTACAAAATTTTTGCTTATGTGTTGAGAAGGTAACAGAGTAAACACTATATTTTTTGCTTTTGAATTAACAAAGATATAACAATAAACGATGAGAGATGTCATAGGTTTATGCTGTAATTAATTCTTACCGTCAAATTTATCGACTCTTAGTGTATCTTTCGCTTCACCTTCAAACGTAGCATAGCTCTGTTTCTCTCTACGTGCGGGCTGATGTATCACATTATTGATATGGTAGGATTTTTCATTTTTTTTATTATAAAACTTCTTGTTATGTTCCATAGGGCAATGTGTCATATTGTTATCTGTTTTTACTAAAGAATTAATAAGTGTATGTGTTATATATTAAATTACCTAATAAATTGGGAAAAAATATAGACATTTTTGCATCTTTATTTTATCTACATTCATCCTGTTGCAGCTAAATATATTTGGGTAAGTTATAAGTTTTCGTTTAAAATTTTAATTACGGATTTGTTGCTGCAAGTAGCAGACACAAAAATTATATCAAAATAGGAAAGCCCAAAAGTTGCATATCATTTAAAGAATATGCTCATATATTTGTAAACATTATTTTTAGAAATAAATTTAATGCTCAAATGATAGATGTGGTATTTGATCATTATAAAGGACATTTTATCAAAAATACAACACGTCAAAAGAGAGGATTTCAGAAATAAATATAGAAATTGACCGACCCAATATTCCACTTCCGCAACAATAGAACTTGTTTATTCATTAGATATTTAACAAAAGACGTTTAACACATTTTCTGCCAGAGCAACTTCTTCAAAACTCCATTCAGCAAAAGCATATTCAATTTCTAACTAGTGGTGGATTCGCGAAAATCAATAAATATGGAAAGAATTTTGAACCATCAAAAGACGATTTTTTTAAATTCAAATCACGAAGACGCTAATAATCGTATCTCATTGCACATATTGTCAGCCAAAAATTCGGTGCATTCACGCTGCATTATTTATTGCAACGATACAGATGTCTTATTAATTTATTTTAAGAAGTTTTTGACTAAAGATATATGGTTCAGAACAAGGCGAGGAGACTCAAGACGATTTCTAGCAGTACATTATTTAAATTTGGATGAAAACCTTCTAAAAAATATGCCTGCTTTTCATTCTGACCGGTTGTGATACAACCATTTAATTGTCCGGCATTGGGAACAAAACCTGTTGGAAAACCTACCTTGAAAACCATTACTTTTTGGATGGATTTGGCAGTGATGAGTACTCTGAAAACATATTCTCTAATATTGAAAGAATTTTCCTAAAAATGTATTCAAAACTGCCAATGTTACTTTCATTAACATTTTGAGGGGATTATTGAACTCTTCAAAAACCATCGCTAAATTACTACCGACTTAAACCCAGATGCAGCTTTCTAATGTTGAAGAGTATGGATGGAAAGTAGATCAAGATGGAAGCCTGATACCCACTTTTAAGACTCTGCCCGACCTGCCACCAGACATAACAGAACTTACATCATGCAAATGCAAAAAACATACTATACAATATTCTAACAATAATATTCTGTTCTAGACTGTGGAAGCAAAATTTGCAAATGCAGGAAAAAAAATATTTACTGTATCGGTTCCTGCACCTGTATGGCACAGAAAAACTGCAGAAATAGTTTGACCACAGCTAATGTTTTGGAAAATGTTGATTCGTGTGGTGAATCTGATTCTGATTAGTTTGAAAGTCTTGTAATTATAAATTTTAATATTATTAATTTATGCTTTATATACTTCCTTCCAATTATTATTATTATTATAATTTATTTATATTGGGGATTTATTGTATTTTGCAAAGCAATAGCCTTACTGTTTATGATTGATACTTCAATAAATACCTTTAATAAATAGTTCATATTTTCTTATTTTCATTTTACATTAAAAATAAAAAAGAAATCTTGAAGTAATTAGTACACCCTATTAAACATGGTGGATAAATCAATAATCCCTGTATAAAATAATATAAGAGGGGTCAAACTGATTGCATACATTTCAATACTGAGATAGATGCATAAAGAGTGGATAGGCTCTGCCTTTAATGTTTGCTTTCTAGTAAAACCATGACATCACTAATTGTTTATTGTTATATTTCTGTTAATTTAAAAGCAACAAATATGAAAGTACTTTTACCTTGTCAATACATAGGCGAAACTTTTATAAGGAATAGTTTTTTTTCATTTAGGCCTTCGTTTTTCGTCAAATGAGAGGTATATTTCTAAAAGAAGATTTTTTATACAAATTTGTAGACTGTTGAAACTGAGACATTTAAATTTTTTTTCGATCATAAGGGCTAATGTAAATGAGTTTTTTTAAATAATTATAAAAAAATACTTCCTACAAAGACTTAATTGAGCATTAGAACAAAAAATAGGCATTTTTAACCAAATTAGATGTAATTTCATTAAATTAGATGTAATAATTTTCAACAAATTCCAAAACCTAGTGATGTTAGATTGGAAGTGGCAACAGGGCTTACACCGGCAAGAAAAGTTACGTTAAGTAGTAAAAGCTCGGGCAGTAATTCATTGATAAAACTATGTAAAATTCTTCACTGTATCCCTTCTTTTACTTCTCACCTTTCGTCGCCTCGCCCCGCGTCTAGAAATAGAATTTTTTGAGTGCGAACTGTTCTTGGCACCATGAATATTATATTTTATGAATGACTTCTTATATCTCTGTTATCTCTGGAAGCGATGGATGATCACGTGGATCCCAAACCCTAATCTTACCTGAAGAGCCTGTGCTGCATTTCAACGTCCTGTAGTCCATCAATGAATGCCGATTTGTTCTATGAAATCTTCAGGTTCCTGTGGATAGGCCAGATGGAGCAGTCTTTTAATATCGGCTTCGAATTCTTATAGATTCTTATTGTGCTTCTGAATACGAACTTTTAGCTGGCTTTGGAATACCTGTTTCAAATGCTGCTGGCCATATTTTGTCTCCAAAGCTTGGAGGAGAGATGAGTAAATGGTTTCCTTTTGAGGAAGTAACTGTAAAACGGTGGCTGCAGTGACACTATCAATGAAGCCGCCATCTCTTTCTCGGTCCAGCCATTGGCTCTAGCAGCAGCTTCAAATTGGAGTCGATATATTTCCCATGTTGTCTGACCGTTAAACGTGGGTAACTTAAGGGTCTTGCTAGTATAGTTTTGTGAAACTGAGATTCGAATGTGGCTTGGTTTGGTTATGGATGAAGACGAGATAGTGTTTTCAGCTTCAATGTTGCTTACCGAAGTTTGGCTACGAATTTTTCTTTCTAACTACCATTTCAACTCTAATTTGCCTTTCTAACTCTACTCTTGTCTTTTTCTGTTATTGTTCTTAATTAGTTTTTAAATGTTGTTGCTGCTGTTCTACATGACATAAAATAAGAAGGGAAAACATTCGATAAAAGATGAGTAATGTTATTCCACGTCAAGGAACATCTAGACGTTCAAGAAGGTTCTAGAAACTTAAATCGAGCTATAGTATGTAGTATGTGATCCTGACGTCAGGGAGTCAGTTATCAGTTGTATAGTTATTGTAAAAAATGAGATACCAGAAACCTGCGTAACAATATTATTCACCGATGATTTGATGTCTTTACAAATATCTTCTGTTAGAACCATTTTCAGATCTTGTTTATAGTTTTAATATTATTTTGGATTGTTTTCACGATTTAATTTGTAACGAAAAACTAGTATTATTTGGTTTTGATTCGGGAGCATACTTTACACATGATTTACATACGTCTACCAAGCATAAACTTTTGGCGTAGTATTATATAGTTCTCTTTTTTACAGCTTAATGGATCTTATTCTTTAACTTTAAGCATATAAGAATCAAACTATAATGTTTCGATGATAAATCTGCCTGTTTATGTACAACTTTTTCTTCTAGGATTGAATTGGAAGACACTACATGGAAAGGTGATTTCAAGGTAACCAAACCAAATGAACACAGCAACGGTACCATTAATAAAGTTGGAGTCCGATGGGAGACCAAAAATATAACTGTGAGTCCCTATTTAATCCATTAAACCGAAATTTTCCAAAAATATGCCATAAAGCTGGAGACTAGTACTTAAATTGTAGTTGAATCAAAGTATCAACCATGGGTTATTGTATTTCAAGTTTTAAAACTTTCAAAGATTTTTTAAATAACACTTGAGAGAATGATGATTCATACAAAATATTTCTAAAGTAAGCCATCAGAATAGGTAAGGAGTTCAAAAACATGCTAGAATAAATTCAAAAAACAGCATGTCTAACCATAACAAGAGCCATGAAAACCATATCACTCCCCTTGATATTTACATCAAAGAGGTTGCTCTGACAATGACACTGTTGGAATCGATTCTGATATAGGATCTGATGAGGCGAAACATCGCTTTTGGGAAGAGGCGAACCGAACGTTGATGTTTCGTACCATATATCGTTACCTATCTCCACGACAATATAGAAAATTGTGTTCAGTTTATCTACTGACACCATGGTATCCCAGTTACATTACTTACTAATATTTTAATTTTAGGCAAGTTATACTACATCTGACGACGAGGAAGTTAAAATATTTCCGGAAGAATTTATCAAAATTATTCAGGATAAAATAGAAAGTGACAATCTTAGAAACTATATTGGAGACCAAATTTATGAGAGTCTTGAGGACGTATGGTGGAACACTGGAAAAGTGTGGGACCTCGTTCAATGGTGCGAAGACAACCCAGATAATTCTGCCGTTTATTAGAAACTAAATTCGACTGTAGTTTTTATTAAACATATTTATACATATTTTTATGGTTCTTAATATTTTCAATTAATAAATATTATTCTCAAATTGAATTTATAGTCCTAGAGTTGGTAGTAAAACAATCTGCCTCATTCGATTACAAAACTTGTTATAAGGTGTTGTTTAAAAACTATTTGAAACATATTAAAAACGGTCCTGTGCTCGCGATCCCAGGTGTTCATTGTTGACGATCAAGAACAAGAGTGTGTACGTGACAGGAGTTATGTGCGAAGGCCACATACTTTGATTTTCTTTTACTATACGGAGAATGGTTGCACTGCGCAGCTTTCTGAGTGCCTTTTAAAAGGAGATAGAAAACTCCGCCATTTTGAACCCTTATTACGTGTTGCCTACATCTTGGCGCAATATTTTTAATAGGTGCGTTTTAATCATCCGCTTCTGCTTCGGAATTGTCGGTTTTCTTGTTTTAATCTGACAGGTTAAAACGACTAAACCGACAATTCCGGAAGCAGAAGCGGATGATTAAAACGCACCTGATATTTTGCTTGCTGCTGTCAGTATCAGTGAATATTATTTTTGAAGTCACAGTTTATTGCTAAAGAATCAGTTAGCTCACTCGGACCAGTTGAAAGTTCCAAAATAACATCCATTCCAGGGATACAAATTCAGGATACGCAGAAGACTGCTGTTTTATTATAGGCGGTTGTCATAGATTGTATTATCCGAGTTGCACAGTGTATAAACTGAAACCACAGCTTATACAATACAGCTCCACAACTCCGTGTCGGCGTCTTTGATCTGGCGGTCGAGAACCAAGCAAGACGGAATGGTGCTATCTCTGTTAGATTCGAGGGAAAAGTCGGGCCCGGATTAAACAATTTTTTTATTATTGAAAAAATTGAAAACCTTGGCGTAATAAGGTTGGTTACATGCCATATTAAGTAAGTTTTGGGAAATTAAATTTTTAATTTGTTTTAAATCTGTCAAATATAATTAGAAACATTATTTAAATATAAATATTACGAAAAATAGCACATCTTTCGGATTAGAGGTAAAATAATTTGTATGTGGCTAGTAAAATCCTCGTTAACAAATGTTTTGAGCTAAAACAGTCACTTCACGACAAATTGTGGCTTGGATCCTTTTTACACCAAGGGCTTCAATTGTTAAAGAATTGTGTCACGCTCGTGGATGCAAATCAAGTGGTACCCCCGTGTCTCTGGCAAGTGTTACTCTTCGCGCAAAGGGTTTATACCTAGATAAACGAATGCTTCGACTGAGGTCTGGGAACTCTATGGTACTTTGGAATTATAAAGAATTTGTGCTTTTATTTTAACAATATTGTTTATATTTAGATGTATTCTTATTAATTGAAATACAGATTTGTAGAAGTAATACTTTGACAGTTTTTATTAATATAATATATTCAATTTTTATCTGACCATACCGAAGTAGGGAATTTTGAAACTTTATAGTAATGTGAAATTTGAATTACAATATTACACGATATTACATAATTAGTACTTATTTTAGGTAGGTGCTAAATTTGTACTTGGAGAAAGTAATATCGATTTTTATAAAAAAACTTGAAAAGTAAATTAATTTAGTTCCTATTTCTGATGTAAAACTTAAGTTTTGGTTTAAACCAAGAAAACAAATAAATTATAGTTTGTTCAACAAGGGTGGATATGATAGCAATATCACACAAAGACGAAGTTTGAGCACGACATCGTATGCGGAGTACTCAATCGTCTGATTGTGATATGAACAATCCACTCGATATGGTCAGTATATTTTTTCTACGACCCACTAACGAAAATCTACAAATTTAAAAAATTATTTTAGGTTATTTAGACAAAATAACTAATTTTAAAATAATTTACGAAGTTGACTAATTTATAAAATAAAATTAACATGAAAAATTAATTAGTCCTCGGCCTAGATTCGATCCCGGGCTTTTCGCGTGGAAGGCAGATGCTCTGTCCTCATCTTCACCGAAACTTACAGAACTTTAGTTTTAATACTCGTAATTAAATTAATATCATGTAGTTTGATTAAAATTTATTTCTTTAAATGTGGACACAATAAAAACAAAAATGCTATTATTTATCGAGTCTACACAAAAATTTTAATGTATATTTAATATCAATAACTAAAATATATATTGACAATTAGTTTAACAGAATTGTCACTTATTTAAAAAAATTTAAATAATAGGAGTTGGGTGACCAAAATATGAACTGTGTTTTGTAGATTTAATTTTGTTAAAGTGTTCTCACTACCTAAAATGGATATGAAATATATTCGTAGTTGAACGCAATAACATACTTTTTCGTTTTGTAGTATGTGCATAGATTGGCTAATATCCATGCACAGATTACAAAACGAAAAAGTATGCTATTGCCTTCAATTGAACGAATATATTTCATATCCATTCTAGGTAGTGAGAACACTGCAAAAAAAAATAAATTCGCCAATCACCGTTCATATTTTGATCAACCGACTGCTATTATTTTTAAAATTTTAAATAAATGACAATTCTGTCAAACTAATTGTCAGTATATTTTTTAGTTATTGAGATTAAACATACAATAAAATAAGTTATTCTTTTGGAAAACGTTAGCATAGATGACTAAAGGGTATTGGGTTAATTAATTCTAAAAGTGTGGTACAAATGTTATTTTTTGTAGCCAATTCTTCAAAATTATTTTGAAATATCTTTTCAATATTGAATATTAGTTCTACAAATTCATCATTTGACAGTTGCAGATTTCTAAATGTATCTGGATTGGCGTTATCATATGCCTTTAAAAAGCAATAAAAAGAAAAATCATCTAATTCAACGTGATCTTTGTTATATTTAAGACAGGTATCGCAGAGGAGTGGATCCGCAAGGCTTTTATTAAAAGGTAACCACACACATACCTGATAAAATTTGTCTGTATCAATTCGTCTTTACAATAATTTAGGGTGTTATTAATTTTATCATAAAATAAAATACAAGGTGTTCCATTTAAAGAACATACATTTTAATTTGCCAGGCAAAAACATGACACCCTGTATATCCAAAGATATTTTTAAAATATGTAGGTATTTTTCAAATCCATATAACTTTTATTTAAAACTTTCTTGCGTGTCTACAACAAAATAATGAACAATAACGCACTAATGGGATACCCTGTATAAATTATATTTTTAACAATGAAAATTTCTTATAATGTGGTACTTATCGGTTTGGGTCCTTGGGAAAACTAAAGAATGTTTTCTTGCAGGTATAACCCTTATTAAAACAGCTTTTGACTGCACAAACAGAATGATGTCTTTTTTTTTCACTCATTCTACTCATAGCTAAAGAGTCACCAAAATAATAACAGTACCTTTAACTCAAACAAAATCAACGAAATTATAGGCTCCACGAAATTATACAATCAACGAAATTATAGGCTCCACGAAATTATACAATCAACGAAATTATACGCACGACTCAACACCTTACCTAAGTACGCTTCTGAACACCAAAACCGTCTTTTCCCTTCGAAGGCGGAGCTTAAGCGATGCTCGACGAAATCGACGCAAACCGTTGCCGCCAAGAGAGTGTTTTAGCTGTATTGTATCGTATTGTATGCGTTGAGATCAAAAGTGCCGACGCAGAGTGAGCGATCTGATTCTTTAGCTGTAAACTGTGTCACAGGGTTCAAAATGGCCGCGCCCTATGTTGGGCGTGTCGGACCTCTCCCTTGCCCCGTATAGTAATCAAAGTATGTGGCGAAGGCTAACTAGCTTAGGTGACGTAATCATATGTGTATCTCTCTCTTTAAAACAACACAAATCGGCAGAGAGGTCCGGGCTTTCACGAAATAAAGATTGGCTCTTACCAGCATGATGACAATTCTTCTATGTTATATAAAAATCACTTAAGTTCTCTGAGCAAAAATAATACATAAAACAAAATGTGAAATTTTAGTGCAGTGTTAAGCATGTAGGTAGTTGCTAAATAAAAAAAAATAATGTCCATATGAAGATGGTAGCAGCTAGCATCGACAGCATCTATTTAGTAAGCACGCTTTAGGGCAGTACTTATAATTTGTGTTGGAATGAACTATTAGAAATCTACAAATTCAACAAATGTCTTGAAATCAAAGTTGTTCATAGCAATACATCGCTTTACCTGATTTCATACCATCTCGATCTGGTTAAGTTCGCAAAGATACGATGGTAAGCGTAAAACAGTTATCCTGTATTTTGCAACTATTTCCTCAATCTTATAGTTTGTCACATTGCTCTCTGTATGCGTTAGCAACTTGAAGCAGCTTAGATTTAATTAATTAGTTACTATGCCATCAAGGTACAGTACAATAGTAAAAACCGATAGTATTGGAATAACTCCTATTCGCTCCGTACGTGACAGCAGCGCCAATTCGTACTAATGGACTATTTCTGCGTACACTGACAAATACAATTTTTAATAGAATTCATAATTAAAAAGTATATAGGTTAGTTTTAATAAAAGTATATGAATTTGTAAAACAAATAAAACATTAATTTATTATTATATATTTTTATGGCTTAAATTAAAAAAAATTAAGTATAATCAATAATAAAATATAGACAGGCAACAGTATTTACAGGAAAATGTATGAGAAGTTGCCTTAGTCTAATAAGTTGTCTTTTTAGAATTAACCTATTCTGTCAAAATAAAAAAATACCATTAAGTAACAGCGCGAAGTTAAAATGTAAAAAAGAAGGATCGTTATTTATATTTTAATTTTTGTTTGAAAGAAAACATAGAATAAATGATTAAAACTGGTTTCCCATCTGTAAGTCACAAAATTGCATTCCAGCCACATACAATAATCAAAGGCAGAAATCTTGAAATCTAGTCCTTGCTGAATGAACATTTAAGAATAAAGGGATGTTAAAGAACATCGTAAAATGATAATTTATTGTTTATTTAAAACCTTTCAAGTTTCTGATGTCTACTATTTCCAGTATTACTGTTATTATTACAAAAATAAAGGTAATTTTTCTTCTTATTGTACACTTATCCATTTATTTCTTTGATTTAATTTCCACTTTGTTGCTGAAAATTTTTATAATTTTCACTCTTTTTTTTGCTATTATTTTTACAATTTTCAACACAGCAACTCCGGTTGCTTATTGTATTGTTTTTACCTATACTTTTCTGAAAAAAGGTAAAACGTATACTTGTATTTCATATACCAAAATTACAAAATATCGCCCTAAAATTCACGAATTATCCGTAGCTAACGCTAGTACCGGTTTTGCTTCCCCTACCATGACTTCGCACTGAGCGAATAGAAGAAATACCCCCAAACAGATCGGGGTCCAAAGGGATGACCGAAGACAAAAATAAAATGAAATAAAATGAATTTAGCTCAAAGCCAGTATCACATAAAATACAACGACCGTTTCCCCTTCAAAAAACAACTACTCCTTTGGCTAATACCGCAACAGGCATTGGATTACATCCGAAGGAAAGACAGCAGAGATAGAAATTAATTTTCAACACTCTCTGCTTTGATTTTGCTCACCAAGGAGAACATCATTCTTGGACCGGTTTCGTAATCCAATGCCTGTTGCGGTATTAGCCAAAGGAGTAGTTGTTTTTTGAAGGGGAAACGGTCGTTGTATTTTATGTGTAATTGGCTTTGAGCTAAATTCATTTTATTTCATTTTACGTCTATCACATTTGAGTTTTGATTTATTTTCGTTTACAAATTGCCCGCCTGGTGCTTTTTGGTTCTACCTAGTTTTCTAACTGGGTACCACAGCGCATTTTGATTTTGCTTACTAAGAACAGATGGCGACACCATTTCACTACTTGAATTCTTATTCTCTTCATAACCAACTTTATGGTATACTGGTGAAATGTGTAGCATTTGTTAATTCCATTAGAGACTGGAATTGAGAACCTATCTATTTCTTGCTGAGGAATCCTAATAAGGACGAAACCGGTCCAAGAATGATGTTCTCCTTGGCACAGGATAAAGAACAATACAGAAAAGAAACATAGGGCTAAAACAGGAACCTAGCAACCGAAGCCACACCTTCTTCATGGTGGAGCATTGTCAAAATTGAACCGTAGATTTGTTACTTGTTCGAAGTGCAACAGTGCACACTTTTATAGCAGATGAACACAGCTTCGTTCATCGTTCACTGCTGTCGCTGTTAGAAAATCAATATTTTTTTTCTTGTCGTGTCTTTATTTGTCGTTTTGGATTTGTGGTTATTTTTAACGAATATTCTGATAACTTTTACGTTTTTTAGTGGTTTATTTTTAGTTTTTGTTAATTGTGGAGTTGTTAATTTAAGACTTTATTGTACGTATTAATATTAGGTTTATAAACAATGACGCGTCACAGAAACCCCGTCTTTCTGTTTCAGCATGTGAAGATGGGGTTTCTGTTATTTTAAAATTTTTAAACTGTTTGTAATCGTCCCCGTGTGTTTTTTAATTTTTTTTTAAATTTTGACTGCACCTGAAGATGGAAACAAAGTTTTCCGAAACATATGTAGTGCTGTGCTAACGCTAGAAAATAAAACTAATGATCGAATAAACCAACGAAATTTTTATTTATATAAAATTTTGCTACGGTCAGGAAATTATCCTTATCTAAATTTTGAGTTACTTGATTCTTGCTTTGTACGGCAGCAGTGCTTTGTAATAGCCATTATTTGGGAGACTCCTAACTAACTCTTCCAAAAACAAAAACAATTCCTCTGTTTTCTTCCGCATCGATCTAATATTAATTAGAACCATTCCGCATAGCCAGTAAGACTAGTTGACGATTCTAGTTACCCAGAACACGTCATATTAACTAAAAAAATATTCTGAACGGCAATAAAATAACTTTACTGTACTCCCTTTGTTTTCGTAGGTGTATACTTCGTTCCGATACACACGAAAATCAAAATAAAGCATTTATATCTTTTTCTACACCCGTATTATAATAATGCACTTATACGACCATAATCTGTTTCATAATGATACCCATTATGATACAGATTTTTCATTACGATACAGATTTTTAATCAATAGAAACCTACAATTTTTCAATCAAACATGCTGTTTGACGTTTGTCTTAGGTTCCTATGTAATTGTTTTAGTTGTCAAAATGTATTAAATTTTCGTAGATAGCTAAACTTCGATAATTATAATATTAAAATGTCCGATATCAGCGATATAGAAAACTCCTCCACACATATCGGAGAAAGCAGAAAATATAGTAAAAAATATTTTGCCGCAAAAATCTGGAGAAATGCCAATACCCGAAGTAATACCATTAATTACAATTTTGTAGAATGTTTTATAGAAATACGAGTAATTACTGTTATTGTGTTCAATACCAATATAAATGTAATATTTATGGGTCTTCATTATTTATCGGGTGTAGAAAAAATAGCGTATGCAACTCTCATGTAATGGTTATTAGAACACTCGCATAAACCATACGAAACTCACCTTTGGCTCGTTTCGTATCCCGGTTAATGCTCGTGTATTAATAACCATCATTACATGATCGTTGCATAATATACTATTACAGTCGTATCTATCTCCGAAATGTTGCTATAAATTGGACTTTTTGAAAATTTTGAGTTGTGACATTTGTACTGGTATCGTACTGAGTTTTTTATTTTTAAATCGCATTTTTTACTTTATATTAATAACCATTATCACATTAAGTAGAACTTCTTAAAGATTTTAAGATAGTAGAAGGAAAAAAATGTAATGACCTCTAAAATAGAAAAATGTTAGATATGACTGAGACGTCACTATCGTTATTAATCGAACTTACATAAAATTAACCAATTTTGAAAGCATTAGTTATCAACTTTGTACCTCCTCATTTGCAATAAAAAATAATCATTCTGATTTCTTTAATCAAACTACAATGTAAGGTGTTCTGCTGATAAAGCAACCATATAAATATAGGTAGATGTTTTAAAACTATTGCTTTCAATTGCAGTTAGAGAACTAAAATAGAAATAATAATGTTCAGTTTAAAAGTTGTTGCCTTATTGGCTTTGGCATTTGTTGTCTCCGGTAAGTAACTTGTAACTAAAAATGTCAGAGTACTTGGGTGTGACTTGGGGTATTTCTATCACTTTAGCTATAACCGCAGTAAGAAGTTTAATACAATTGGCAAACATTCGATCAATTTAGAAAGGTTTAAAAGATATTAAACAATCATTGGTAATAAAAGCATACTTTTTTTGTTTCAGCCACTGACCTCGAAGATGGTTTGGCCATCATGGCTTGTGCCAGAAGAGCCATTAACGGTGGTGTACCTGAACTAAACATTCCAAGCCACGATCCTTTTGTTGTCATTAAACACAACTTTACCTGGCAAGGAGATCTTTATATCCTTACTAAGTAAGTTTTCCAATAAAATATTTGCTTTGTAAAACATCAATACTCAATTAATTTTTAACATTCTTACTTACCAAAGCATTCAAATAGATGCTGCCTTAATAAAAGATTCTTAAATAAAAAAATCCCTTTAAGATAGTTTTGGAACTAAACTATTTCCTTTAGATTGATAGTTATAGTTTATTAAAACAAATTATAACGATAAACCTTGTAAAAAAACACTATATACAGTATACAGAATAAATAATAGGCGAAAGTTAGAAATTTAGAATCGTCATGAAGAAATAATAAATAAATTAACAAAAAAATTGTCAAACCAAGTGAATTTTTAATAAAAGAAATTTCTTCTTTATTTAAATACAGTAAGAACCAGTATTAAATTAAAAAGAGACCGTAAAACATGCAGTGAATTTCAAAATTCAAGAAACTTTATGTAAAAAAGTACAAAAGATTATCTTTCAGTAATTCATAAATATTTTTTATATTAATTATCTTAAATTATTAAATTTCACTTCAATTTAATTGTAAGCATCTTATATTTGCAGCAAATAATAATAGATTTGTCACAAATCAAATTTTTTGGAATTTTGAGGATATTGAGGATGAAAACTCTTTTTTTTTCTGTAGCAAATTTCAAATAATTTTAAATTAATATTATAGTGCCAAAGTCTCGTTCCACGACATGACATGGGCAGGACTTGGCACCTGGGAATTGAAAGCTAGCCAAACAAGCAAGGACACTGATAAAAATGCCGTCTTTGACTTCGAAATGGGGTGGAACTACATGGAGATGGCTGGTAAATTCGACGCAGAAGAAAATGCAGCAATCATCCACCAAGAACAACATGGAAATTTCTCGTAAGTTTTCGATTAATATAGAGTAAATTTTGTATTTTATCAAACAAGAGTGGTAAAGCTCGATTTTTTTGTGAAGAGCACATTTCGTAATAGCTATGCCACAGTTCGCGCAGTACGTCATAACTTTGTGGAGCTTTAGTTGATGGCGCTGAGCTGAAATCTGCTGCAGTAGAGGTACTTGATATCTTAGCAGTGGCGTGTGTACATTAATAAAATATTTTATTTACAACCATATATGTAATGTTGTCATTACTAACGTCATTGAAGGTTGGGAAGTGTCACATAACACACCTCTACTTCCCGCCCTCACTTTCCGCCCTCACTTCCCGCCCTCAGTTACGGCCCTCACTTCCTGCTTTCACTTCCCGCCCTCATTTCATCTATTCTAAATGAATATTTTTTATATTTAAAAAAATAACACACTTTTTTGACAAATTTTATAATACCTATTTAATGGCAAACAAAAAACAACAATGAACTAAAATACAACAAACTACTTATTGACATTTATTTTATTAATTTATTTATTAATGTGTACAGTTCTGGTTTGGTCATTTTAGCATCATGTGGTATATTGTTTTTAACGAGCCAGTTAATTAAATCTGCTTTTTTGGTCTACGTTGTAATCGATTTTTCAGATTTTACATTATGATCATTATCGATTACAAGTTCAGAACTTGGAGGAAGATTTGGTAGTAACTGCCTTCTAACCCATTGGGAAAAATTATTCCAGTTCATTTCATCATGATAACCCACTGTCTTTTTCCCTGAAAAAAAGTAAAAAAGAATTTATTATCTATAATACAAGTTGATTTTTCATAATTACTTTTGTATGATACTTAAGCTTACAAAAAACTCTTTTAAATGAAATAATTGCTTAGTTAAGCAAAAATTATTAGCAATTTTAAATCACTTAAAAAATAATCTGTTTTTAGAAGAAATATTTCTTCAAGATGATAAGACTTATTATAATAATCCTAAGAAAAAGTCATTACTAAAAACTATCCCTTATATAACAATAAAGGATTAAGTACCTACAGGTAAAGATGTTTTAACTAAACTGAAGATAATAAAATAAACCACTACATTAGGTACTTAAATTACTTGTTAATTAGATACTTTAACAGTTTTAATTAAATTTAAGCTGATCATAACTTTCGAATGTTAAGCATCATGGATTTTTATGAAGTAGGTAAAGACGCAAATAATAAATAATTTTCTATAAAAAATAGATCATTACCTGAAGTAAATATCAACAGTCCATTTTCTACAAAACCATCCTTACTCCCTGCATGCAACACTATGAGCCTTTTCTCCTTGCTCATTGGAGTTTTGAATTTTCCTTTGCCATCGGTCCATCCTTTCGAATGTGTATGACTACTATGTAAATAGGCCTCATCACAATAATAAATAGTTCTGCCCTCTTGCCGATAATGTATTAAGGATTTTAAATAATTTTTCCTCTTATTTCTAATGTCGTAGGATTCCAGCAGAACAGATCTGTTGTCTTCATTTTTTTTTTTTCACCTAAAAAAATAAACATTGTAATTTTATACGTACAAAAATTGACTATGAGAAATTAATTATTTTGATATCATTTTAATTTGATTTTTTTAGATAACGTTATTTATACTTACTTAAAACCCATGTTTAATAATATTTTTATAAGTGATGAGATGCTGCCCCGGAATTCAAAACAACAATCCTTCATTTTTTGTAATATTCCTAAAATAATATTTATATTAAATACGTTGCCATTATAATCAAAATTGTAACTTACAATTTAGAGTTGGTAGTCTTTTCTCAATAATATGAAAATCATGGATTATACCTCTGAGTTTTTCCAACTCTTCAGGCCTTATAGATTATACAACTGTACTTCTTCTTGTATATCCTCTTTGTAAAAATGAAGTACTAACTCCACTTTCTACTTCACCAGCCATCTTCTTAATTCTAGAATAACTGTTTCTAGAAATCCCTGTAGCAGCTAACATTATCTCTCTGTATTTGTGTAATGGTATTTGAATACCGTGTTCAGCCTCGTTTTTCATAAAATTTATGAGGCGTGAAGTTACTTCTTTCGTTTGACTTTGAAGAATTTGGCCCTTTTTGCCTAATAATTTTTTCTGTTCCATTTTGAACGAGCAAAAAATATAGATATTTGTAGGAAATTTGTTTTAAATAATATTAAACTTATTTGTCTATTCATCATTAATATTTAAGGTATAATATCACGTACAATACCTTAAATATTAAGAACTTGGTGATAAAATATATAAAACCTACATAAGAAAAATATGGTTTACAAAAATCTGGTTTTAAAAGGTATTTAAAATATTTCAGGATGTTCAGTTTCTTCTGAGATTAATATTTATAGTTTTGTAAATGTATTTACCAAAATATACACAAAATTATCTAGGAATTCAAAAAATATAACAAATTAAAGTTCATATACACACAAATCGAAGCACAAAAACTTAGGAAACTTAAAAATCGAAGCACAAAACTCAAGAAACTCAAAATAGCTAAATAAATGCAACAAATTAGTAACACTACGCTACTGAATTCAACTTGTATGAGCGGTGATGAGCGGCAGGCGGCTTCGATCACGTTTAAATCTGTCTGACCACGCCTACAAACTCAAATTGGTTTCTGCACATTATGACGAAGTGTGTTCTTCACAAAAAAATCGAGCTCTAACAATATTATCGTTCTTTAACTGTTTATTAATTTTCATATTTATATTATACAATTGACACATCTTGTACATGTCAAATAGATATGCAATACTATTTACACCTTTATGAACGACATCTCCCTTTTTTGAAATACATTTTTCAAATGAAACTTAAAAGGAATATTTTAAGTTATCAGGTTTTCTATTTTTTCTAGCAAAATTAGTATATATACAGTATTTTTATTCAATTTATGAAAAATAGTGAAACTTTCCTCTAAAAAAAGATAGATTCATGTAAACAAGATGACATTGATAAATCTTCAAATGAATTTGTCACATCTTTCATTTTTAAAGTTGCTTCGTGAATTGTTTGAATGTAACATCTCAATGACACTTATGCATATTTATAATACACAACTTTTTTTGTTTTAGCATGGTGTTTAAAGAATCGGCATGGAAAGGTTCCATTGACGTAACCAAACCAACTGAACATAGCAACGGTACCGTCAACCGTGTCAGAATTGACTGGGATGTTGAAGATGTACCTGTAAGTACCTATTTAATTAACGATATTAATATCCACGAATTTAATTTAAAGTTGAAAAATGGTTCTTAAATTTCAGCAAAAACTTGTGGATTTATTTGGAATATTTGTCTAATATAGCCTTTAGATTTTGTTAAGGAGCTATACAATATAAAACAGATGAACGCACATAACATATCTCATATTATATCTATCAAAAACTCAAAAACAAAACATGCTAATTTGCACACTTTATTTGAGACAGTTCATTCCAAATCATTCCAAAACAGAGTTTTTATTTTAAGTAATACTAATTGAAATGTTCATCTAAAAAATCACTTTCCTACATCACTTAAAATATTATTGTCTTTGCCTTAGAGGTTTCTACTCTAATCAAGTTGCTATAAAACCGGTAATCAAATGTTTTGTTATTATTGATAAACACACAACAATAACTCAACTTAAAATGTCCTACAAACTTAAAATTAAAACGAGTATCTATAGCTTAGTTGGACGGTTGTCCAAAAGCAAAATGATTGATTTGTTAAGGGCTCTGTTTAGCTAAACAGTAGTTTAATTTTTAACTGATTATATTCAGTACAAATATCATTTTTAAAACTTCTGATGATTGCAAGGTTTACAGTTTGAACTAAGATTACATTTTAACTGCCTATTGTACAACCCGCCCTCAGAAGTCAAAATGTTTGCCAAACAAAAAAAAGAGATTTCGAAGAGGATACCTATATTTTGCACTAATTTTCTGAAGACTCTAAGACCTCATATTTTGGCAGACTGGTGCAAACCGTTCAAGACAGGATTGTAATCTAGTTGAAAGCTTGGTCCCCGTTTTAGGGTCTTATACAAGACCGTCCAAAGGATTCTGTCCAAAAATTGAATAAAATACCGAAAAAGAGGAAAATGTCCCAAATATACTCAGGTGCAGCTCTAAAGAACACCTAGATATTGTAGAGCTCTGAGGCGAAATAACTGTATGAGGGTCTTTGTGATTATATTTTACTGTCACAATCTGAAATGATGAATGTTACATCTCTGATACTAAAAACAACTGTTCAAAAGAATATAAATTCAAAGCAAATGCGAAATATGCTGACAAAGTCTTAGTCTGATATGTAATTTCTGAGGCATGGATTTCAATTCCGTATGTTGGTCGAAAAGCTGTAAAAACTGAACTTGACACCCAAAGATATTTAACTTCATGAATGATTTGTTCCATGTCATTATGCTAGAAGCACTCGAGTATAGTTAGAGCAGGACAACATCTATGTACCCCCAAACATTCCTCAGGCTCACTCAATAGAAGAAAGTTGATCAATATTGGGTGAAAATAATTATGAAAACGATTTGGGAGGCATAAAGACAATAGAAAAATTCGAGAAATGGAAGAAAATTGAGGCAAATTGCATGCCGTTGAGAATCGTGATCCGCTATCAATTATATAGTTAAATTTTCATCTTGTCAAAATGTTTAAGGTTAAACATTAATATTTAAGTTAAATATAATTTCGTTATTTTGCTGATTAAGATTGTTGACTATTTTTCTAAGTACCATACGTTATTTTTCTCGTTACAGCATAGTTAAAATGTATTTTTTTTTTATTATAGGTAACAGTCAATGGATTGGGTTTCATTGACCGACCACTTGCTGCAACCGTTTCAAACACCTTCAAAACCGCTTTAAACAACCGTTTGATTGGCAACGCAATTGGAGACTTCATAAAAATGAGACTCGAGACCATCTGGTGGAACACTGGAAAAGTTTGGGACTTGGTTCAATGGTGCAAAGATCATCCAGCTGATTCTACCGATTATTAGAGTTTAAGGCGACTGTAGTTTTTATTAAATATATTTATTATATATATTTTTATGGCTTTTAATTAATATTTACAATAATTATCCTAAAATTGCGTTTGCAGCTCTGTTGTGAGTAAATCAAGTCGTGGGTCAGTTTAAACGGTGTCAATTTCAGTTTGTAAAATAAAGTTATAAAAAATGCCTGATTTGGGTCCCAGAATATTTAAGAGGTAAAAAATCTAGGCGCCAATGGAGACAAAACTTGATACCAAATTGAGTTAAGCAGTGCTGGCTAAGGTTAGTCTTTGGACACGTGACCGCTGAAAAACACTTCAGGTAGTGCAGGTTAGGTTGAAAATGATCTCATCGCCTTCCATTGCAATTCAGAAGGATATTTTTGACGCATGACCGCTGAAAAACACTTCAGGTAGTGTAGGTTAGGTTGAAAATGATCTCATTGCCTTCCATTGCAATTCAGAACGATATTTTGAACGCATGACCGCTGAAAAATACTTCAGGTAGTGTAGGTTAGGTTGAAAATGATCTGATTGCCTTCCATTGCAATTCAGAAGGATCTATGTCTGCATAAACTCTATTCCTATGGAATTAAAGATATTCCAAATAAATAGTTTTCAAAGAAAAATGTTCTGTATCACTTGAGAATCCATAATCAAACATTAAATTTTATAAAATATAGATTGTATTTACGGAAAATAAAATAATAAAATATTTTTATTTAAATATAGATGAGCAAAATATTATTTAAAATGTTGATACGAATTATAACTATAAAGGGAATATTTACATTTTCTGCCAAAAAGTGTACTGAACTATTTTTCTTCGGCCTATATTTTAGATACTAATATGTTCGCAGGACCTGATTAAGGGTTAAAATCCAGCCCTAATTTTTAGGTACCTATGTCATTCGTGACTAGTCATCACAGCGAGAGTTAAAGCGGTCATTGATATGTAATTCTCGGATACCAATAGACATCTAAAAATCGATAGAGATAACAAATGTCTATCTCGAAAATTTATATTTTGTAATATTGGTTATTTGTTGAATCCCCAGTTTTCTATTCAACTGCTTTTCCCACTTACCCAAACTAACTACCAGAGTATAGAAGGTCTCTTTAAGAGACAGAAGGTGGAATAACAAAAAAATATCAGAAGGTATACCTGAGGAATACCGGTCTAAGAAAAGACCAGGTATTTGCGATGGGAGCTAGGCTAGAAATAATATACAAAAAGATAATAGATTCGCAGAGCACTTACAAAATACCTTCCAATCAAATGAAGGAGAAGAATTACCGAACTGGGCTCCTTTAGAGAGAGAAGATCAATTTTATCAGACCAACCTTTTCAAAAGAAATTGCAGAAGATTTAAAAACAAATATTAATCCTAAGGCTTTGATTTAATTAACAGAAGAAATCTTAAAACAACTTCCGAAGAAAGCCATAATTAAACTTACACACCTGTTTAATGCCTCATTCTAACTAAGGTATGTTCCTAGGTTGTGGAAAGTAGCTGAAGTCATTATAATCCCCAAACCAGGAAAACCTCCGAAAGAAGTTTCGTCATATAGGCATATTGCCTATAATTTTGAAACTATTTGAAAAAATATTAATAAAAAGACTGAAACCCATCATTGAAGAAAGGAAACTTATTCTAGATTACCAGTTTGGCTTTAGAGAAAACCATTCAACTATACAGGATATCCGGAAAGTCAACGATAATACTGAAAGAGGTGATGGACCAACTCATAAGCTTTCAGAAAAAGATAATGACCTTAGTAAAAAATCGATGGTTTTCGAAATGTTGCCACTTTAATAAAATTCGTTAAAATCGTCCCATTAGATAAGATTTTCGAGTGTCATTCCTAAAAAATGTATAATTCTTATATTCTGATTTAGGTTTTGCAACTGTGAATAGCCATTTCATTAAACAAAGATCAACATTGAACCAAAAGTTCAAAATATTCCAATAAGAAATCTTATTTTACAGAGAAATAATTTATTTTTATTTTCCATCACTCAAGTTTAACACCTCATACTGTACAAAAAAAGATCAACACTAACCTGGCTAGTGATATGAAAAGTTTGCTCATTTAATGTACTTTGTTCTAATAAACAGTTTACTGTTATTGACTTACAGTAAAGGATATTCCTAATTTACCTTATGAGAACATTAATAACATTAATTAAATCATGTTAAAAAAAAAGTTTTATTTCTCTTACCAAAAAGTAAACAAAAATCAACAGCCTAGACTAGGAGGCCATGAAACAATTATTATCGCCATAGGAACAAGCAAAAAACATTTTTGTTGTTATTTTGTTACTGTACTGTCAATAACTTTTGCTTGTAAGTATCTGGACTTGTGTGTTACCTATTGATTTGGATTTGATTGTATTGGAGATCAAATGAAGTGACCTGACTTTCCTGTGGACTTTGTGTTGATTAAACTATTTGTGTTGGTGATTGACCACAGGGAAGCGTCCTGGGATCCACTTTGTATCTGTTATACACTTGTGACATACCCCAACTAGAAGAAGACACAATAGCTACATTTGCAGATGATACCGACATCCTAACGATAGGCAAAAATCATGAAGAGGCTGCAAATAAACTACAAATATCAGTTAATCAAATAAATAATTGAACCAAAAGATGGCGCATTAAATTAAACGAAACCAAATCTGTTAATATTAATTTTACTAACAAAAATGGTCAAAGAATAACAATTATCATAAATAATGCTCCGGTCCCTTATGCTAACTCGGAAAAATATCTAGGTATTACATTAGATGTAAGACTTCGCTGGAAGGTCCATGTTAAAAAGAAAAGACAAGAGTTAGATATAAAATTCAAGAAAATGAACTGGTTACTTGATAGGCATTTCAGCCTATCTACATATAACAAAATTCTATTATATAAACAAGTTTGTAAACCAATTTGGAACTATGGCATTCAGTTCTGGGGTTGTGCCAGCTACAGTAATATTCTAATAAACCAGAGATTCTAGAACAAAGTATTGAGGAACATTGTCGATGCTCCTTGGTATTTTAGAAACAGCGACCTTCATCGAGACCGTCAGATAAACACTGTTGAACAGACTATCACCAGATTCCCTAGGAGTCTCGAACAACGGCTCCACCAACATGTGAACGTTGAGGCGATCCAGCTTCTTGACAACGCACGAACCTAACAAGAAGACTCAAGAGAGTGAAACCTTTTGAGTTAGCCAAGTGATTATGTTAATAACAAAACAAAGCATTGCGCGGTTTACTGTTACACGTTAGTTTAGTATAATTAAGTTATCAGACCCTAAGGTATACTAGTGAGTAGAACTTTAGCTTCTAAGATTGCAACCCTAGTTAAGTTGGGTTATAACAAAATTACTCATTGATCAACCTTTGATCAGATTGTAATATTAATAAACGCCCCTTATGGAGGAGTGTTTTTTAACAAAAAAAAAGGTATTTGCGAAAACCTGGCGTACATATTACTAAAGTCTATAAGTCTTTAACAAGTTGCCAAAAGGGGAGAATTAGCCAAAATAAAAAAAAATTAGTAAATAATTACTAAAACTTTAAAAATTAATTTCACATATCAAAATGATAATTGAGAAAGTGCAGACGTCAATCTCAATATTAATCAATCTTAATCAATTTTGAAAACAATAATGATCAACTTTGGATCCACTTATTTTTAATTAAAAAATAAAAATAATCGTTTTGATGTTTTTAAGAAAACTATTATGTGAAGTGTCCTACTAAAAGCAAAAGTTATCATTTAAAAATCTTTGGACCCATTCATTTTTAATAAAAAAAAAATAATCTTTTGAAACTCTTTTATAAAAAAACTATTATGTGGAGTGTCCTACTGATAAAGCAACTATATAAATATCCAGATGGATGTTTCAAAACTATTCAGTTTCAGTTAGAGTACTAAAATTGAAACAATAATGTTTGGTGTGAAAGTTGTTGCCTTATTGGCTTTGGCACTTGTTGTCTCTGGTAAGACATACCATTTTTTAAAGCTATTGATATTCTAGAAATATTTAAATAAACCTTTAGTTAATGGCACTATATTTTAAATAAAATATTTCACCTACAAATGATTTCCAATTGTATTAAGTAAATTCCAAATATTTTAGAAACCAACGACAAAATTTTAATACAGAAACTGCTAAAAATTTTTATTGCAGTTTTGGTGAATTTTAAAATTTCTAAGCCTAATTCGTTTTATATTTAATGTATTTCTGCAGATAAACTAAAAATTTTATTTTTATTCAACTACTAAAGGATTAAAAAAAATATAATAACATACATATTTTCTAGATCGTAGTTTTAGATATTCTGATTACTCTCTTTTGACCTTTAATCAAATAGATTTACTCACTATTTGTTCCTGGAACTTTTTACTGAATCTTCTAACTTAGGTCCTATTTGTATATTTATTTCGACAACTGGGGTTTATTTACTACCTATGACAGATTAACTGGAATTTGAGCTTTCTATTTCAATAGAATTAAGCCTCTATGTAGAAATACATCCTAAAATAACTATAAGAATCTTCCAATTATAAATGAACCGTTTATAGTAACTTATGGTGTCCACAAGGTACTGTACTTGGTCTGATACTGTTTTCTATGTAAATAAATTGACTTTTAAGGCAGAGGTATATGCAGAGGTTACTTTTGACGAAGCTTTCAGGAAAAGTATACTTCGTAGCATTAATTTTAATATAGAAATCAGTTCATGAATTATGCGTACGGGTTGTAAAGAAATCTAAAGGAAAAATGACTTTGATCCACATAGAAACCCTCGACTTGTCGACGTATTTACTTTAAAACTAAACATATTTAGACGTTTTCTTTTCGTTGCCACCCGTACAACTAACATATCAAATAAATGAAACAAATCACACTTCAAAATAATGTTTGGTTTTCCTGAGAGCTTGGTTTGAAACAAAAGCTAATTATTAATTGACCTAATCGGCTAGGAAAAACGCAGATCAAAAGTGGGCTCTGCTCTAACCACAGTTCGAAGGAATCTGTGCAGTAAGAAGTTCAAGGTAATTTCACAGATGGCGCTATAAAACCTTTGTTATTTGTATTACTAGCTTCGTTGGCTGTAACAATCCTGAACTGATTCAGAATTACTAATTCATAGTTTATTAGTAATAATTCGGCCCAGGATTCTTACCGGGAATAGTTGAAGCAGAACATGGCCGGAATAAATGCAATTTTTATAAGAGGAATTTAAATAAATAATTCGATATATTAGTAACAAATATGGTTGTTGCCCTCATTTTATAGCATCATGTGTAAATTATGCCCAGTACAGCGCTGCCAACATATATATCTTTAAACCACTCAAAAAATCGTAGAATAACGGTAGAAATTAATAATAGAGGCAGAAATATATTGTCTCAAATAAAATATATTATTAAAAAACAGTTACAAACTGGTTTTTTATTAAAAAAAAAAAAAAAGTTGAACAATAAAATAGGAATAAAGACAATTCAAAATAAATTAAATAAATACAAATATTGAAATAAGAATTCAAATTGTTTTATTTTTTTTTTTTATTTAGATGTCTTTTTGAGGTTGTAACATTTTTCTTGTGGAAGGTAAAATTAATTTTCAATAAATTTTTTTTCCTGTAGTTTTGTATTTTTTGTAAGAAATAAATTTTCATACGAAAGGCAAAATCACACTGGGTGAAATGTTTTCCACTATTGAGATAAGGATGTTATTCATTTGTTTTTTTTTTGTAAATAGTACAAATTTCAATTTTCAGGTTTTTTAATCTGTAAAATAATAATTTCGCTCATTCAAAAATTATTGTTGATCTAAAACCACTATTTTCATATTCATATTTAGTATATAAATGTCGAGAAAACATTCAAATTTCTCAAATTTGGCTGAATTCAAGTCCAAAATAAGATAAAAAAAAATTAGTAGTAGACGAATATTTGACAAAACATTAGTATCTTGATATCCTGAATCTATATTTAAAGTAATACCTATATATCCTTAATTTATTTGCACAATTGAGATGCAAATCCAAAAAAGTATCCGCTACTACGTTATCAATAATAATTTAAACTTAAAAGCTATTTTAAATTCGTCTAAATTGAAAATAATTTACTGCGCCCTAGTTGAAACTCTCATAAAATATTAAATAACAGCTTGGGGAGAAATATGAGTGCGACTCAAAACAAATTGAAATTTTACAAAAATGATTTATAAAATATAAAATATTTCAAGAATCTGGGCAATTAGGTTCTATAAAATAGTTAGTTTTCAATATAAAACCAAAAATTATTTTAAAAAAGTAAAAATAAAATAGGACAACGATATCTGATTTGATGGCGACTCTAATCTCTGATATACCTACCTGAAACTATGCATAACAGTAAGACGTATTTAAATTTCAACATTATTAAAAAAAATAGTAAAAACCATGTACTTAAAGTAAAAATACTAAAAAGTAATTTATCCTGTTTAGGGAAATATTGGGAAGATATTTAAAAGCTATTAAACAATTATTTTTAGTTAAAGTATATTTTTTTTTTCCAGCTACTGACCTCGAAGATGGTTTGGCCATCATGGCTTGCGCCAGAAGAGCCATTAACGGTGGTGTACCTGAACTAAACATCCCCAGCCACGATCCTTATGTTGTCATTAAACACAACTTCAGCTGGTCAGGAGATATTGGAGTCCTTCTTACTAAGTGAGTTTCAACAAAAATGTTTGTTAAATATTAATATTTCTGTTACTAATAACTTTGGTTATTTTAAGTGATGCACCAACGTTTCTGTGGATTTGGTTCTGCCAAGAGTGCCAAGTTAGCAGTTGTGAAAATGTGGTTTAGAAAGTCGAACCTTGATAAAGCATTTTTAATTAGTACATTTTTTTATTATGTGTCCGGAAAAATGTGGGAAAATGTACACTACGTTAACTAACGTAATTCAGCAAAATAAAGATGAGACACTCGATTATACTTGCACGTGAAAAGTATAACGAGATTAACACGTGAATCGCTTGTCTGCCTGCCGTTATTGGATGCATACCCAGACAACACACCAAATCCCAAAGATATCCACAGAATATCTTTTGTGGATATCCAGTATATCCACAGGATATCAGAAATATTCCGTGGATCTAATATGGATATCCAAATGTCCGTCTATATCCAGAATATAGAAGATATCCTATGGATATTCAGCAAAATATCTAATTAGTATCTACCAGACAATACAAGAAATCCCAGAGATATCCAACCAAATGTCCGTCTATATCCCAGGATATAGAATTCAGATATTCAGCAAAATATTTTATAGGTATCTTTAGTAGACATTCATAAGTAACCAAATGAATGATAACGTCGAAAGAAAATAGAGATAAAAAATATTTCCAACAATCTGTCTTTGAGTTTGCCCACTAAGGAAAAAGTCATCCTTATTAGGACTCTTCAGCAATAAATGGAAATTCTCGACTCCAATCTCTAATAGAGTCTTAATGCGAAAAAATGTTCGATCAACTCAATTATGGCGGGTTGAGCATGAGTAGATACGAAAGTGGTATCGCCATCTATACTTAGGAAGCAAAATCAAAAATTACATCTAGTAGTTATCCACGATGGTTTGCGTCCGCGCTAAGACTTTGATATATGTGGATGTCCATGGGATATTGAATACACCTTAAAAAAATTAATTTTAAATATCTGAACGGTACTATTAGCCACAATGGCGAGCACAATGGCGTAATTTTTTAATAATTTGCTATATAATTACTATTATTTATGGACATTTGCATGTCTATAAATTACATTTTATGGATATAAAATAGATATCCACCATGGACTGGACATTCAGTGGATATTGGGATGTTCAGTAGATATCCAAAGGATTTGGTGTGCTGTCTGGGTAGTTATATCTCTACCACTAGTGGGGAGACGCTTTCGTTTCTATCTCTATTTATTCAATAACATCGCTTATACTATACCGTTCTCCTGGAATCAGTGTGGGAAAGCTAACGTACTGTATAAGCCTTCTGCCTGATGATGTTAAAGCAAGTTCAAGTGTAAATGTGTTCAAAAAAAAAAGATGAAGGATCATGTGAAGTTTATATAAACACAATTCGTTTTTTGTGTTATTTTTTGTTTGTTTCGTAACTAAATTGTTTAATTTGATCTTCACCCAGACAGCACACCAAATCCTTTGGATATCTACTGAACATCCCAATATCCACTGAATGTCCAGTCCATGGTGGATATCTATTTTATATCCATGAAATGTAATTTATAGACATGCAAATGTCCATAAATAATTGTAATTATATAGCAAATTATTAAAAAATTACGCCATTGTACTCGCCATTGTGGCTAATAGTACCGTTGAGATATTTAAAATTAATTTTTTTTAAGGTGTATTCAATATCCCATGGACATCCACTATAAATATAAATATATCAAAGTCTAAGCGCGGACGCAAACCATCGTGGATATCTACTAGATGTAATTTTTGATTTTGCTTCCTAAGTATAGATGGCGATACCACTTTCGTATCTACTCATGCTTAACCCGCCGTAATTGAGTTTGATCGACATTGTTTCAGAAACAGACTTCATTAGAGACTGAAGTCGAGAAGTTCCATTTATTGCTGAAGATTCCTAATAAGGATGATTTTCTCCATGGAGGAAGGATAATTAAGAGTTGCCGTTTCTTTGTATAAATATGGCAACATGTTTGCCTTCAGCGACATATGGGATAGTTTTGTGCAACTAATACTCAGTCGGTAATATAAAAAGCTGTAATGCTACTTTAATTTGAAAATTGGCGGGCTTTTGAATTTACTTCGACAAAATATAAGAATTTTACATTTTTAATAGCATTTTTTTAACACGCATCTCATGCGTGTTAAAAAATGCTAATAAAAATGTAAAATTTTATGTTAAATAATTTTAGAGATATAAAATAAATAATACAAAATTGTACTATAACTAAATATTATTTGTTGAATCTTTATTGGTTACAACAATAAACATAATATATATTTTCTGAATAAACAACTATTTTAAATAACACAAAACGAACATAATTTTTCTTCACTCGTGAGAAATAAAACAAGAGTTCCATCCATAAATCCTGAAACGAAAAGAAAAAAAAAACAATTGTTGAAAGCGAAAAACTTCCTAAAGCACATGATTTTGATTGTATGTGACTAATTACTTTTGCATTTGCAGCGATTTAACTAATTTTTAATTTACTACTTCTAATTTCTATAACGTCTAATTAAGATTTTCTTGCTTTATGTAATGAAAATACTTTAGATTTATAAAGATTAAAAAGTTTGGTTATAATACATACAATTAAATTGGCATATCTAGGATAATTATCAAAATGAATATCAGAATTAAAACTTTGTTAAGGATTTCAATATTTGGGGATAACACAATTACGAATACGAATAATAATCCTTTTTTCAGTTGACAATAAAATGAAAATGTTTAAAACAGTGTAAATGGGCCAGAACAATTTGCTATTACAATCAAATATATGCATTTATAGGACATAGACATGCAAAAGTATCAAAATAAGTTTACTTACAGTAAATTATTACTAAATTTATGCCTAAAACTGTATTAAATAAAAGTAAAACTCACTTAGAATTGTTTACATCGACAGCCATATTGTATTTTGTATCATTCGGGTTTCGTTTATCGAGTCGACTCGAGCATTAACGAGATTTGGGTTTTGTTATCCAAAGCCAGGTTTACATTGTACAAATAATTGAATAAATTCATATTTTTTCAATTTTACGATTGATAAATAAAAAAAAAGTGAAACTATTACTTTTGGCAAGTTAATAACACATTTTTATTGAGATATTTTGTAATTATTCTGTTTTCTTTATATTTTATATATAATTGTGTTATTGTAAAACGGACGTACGCCAGTTTCGATGCGCAGTAACTTGTTGACAAAATGCGCATATGCTATAAACCCCCGTGATTTTCTCCTTAGTAGGCAAAATCAAAGGCAGATTGTTGGGAATATTTTTTACCTCTATTTTCTTTCGACGTTATTTAATAACCATTGGTTACTTATGAACCTCTACTAAAAATAATTATAAAATATTTATCTGAATTTCTATATCCTGGGATATAGACGGACATTTGGTTGGATATCCACAAAATATATTCTATGGATATGTCTGGGGTTTCTTGTATTGTCTGGAGATACTCATTAGATATTTTGCTGAATATCCATAGGATATCTTCTATATTCTGGATATAGACGGACATTTGGATATCCATATTAGTTCCACGGAATATTTCTGATATCCTGTGGATATATTGGATATCCACAAAATATATTCTGTGGATATCTCTGGGATTTGGTGTGTTGTCTGGGCAAAAACCCACTGATTTTTCCTAACGAGTTTTTTAAATTTTTTTTATTCATGTTTGGTTTTTAAATTGCTTTATCTACTTTCTAACCCTATAATGTATCTGCGTTACTTTCTGTACTTATTATCTTTTTATAAATAAACATTATTCTATTTTATTCTATTCTTCTGAACATATTGTTCATCCTTTACGCACTATTCCAGGATCACACCAGCGAAGCCAAACTACAGTCCACTTCTTCTTCAAGATGTTCCCCAGAAATAGCAAACTAATTTTTTACAAATTTCAAATGTATAATCGCTTCTACTTTCACAACTTTTTTCTCTTGTATTGTCAGATCAATTATTACATTTAATTTCTTGTATTTATTCGATGACAACTAGTAATAAATAATATTTAATCAAAATTACAGTGCCAAAATCAACTTCCACGATATGACCTGGGCAGGACTTGGCACCTGGGAATTGAAAGCAACTCAACAAAGCAAGGATGTCGATAAAAATGCCGTCTTCGAGTTCGAACTCTGGTGGAGACAAATGGAGATGGGTGGTAAATACGATGCAGTAGAAAATTCAGGATTCATCCACCAAGAACAACACGGAGGTTTCTCGTAAGTGTCTAATAAATTTCCTCCAAAATGTATCTTTCTTAATAACTTCTTTTATTTAATTTACACTCATATGTGGTTGACTCATGAATGTTTTACTGTAACATAGATTGGATTCCTCAAAAACATGGTTATTGTGTAATAAAAGTCTGCTAAGATGTTTTAATGGATTTGTTTGGCATCTGGAATCCATTCTTACAATCAGTAATATCTGCTACGGGTTGATAAGGATAATAAACTATCCATACCTAAAGCATCATCTTTTTTTCTCCTCCTTTATAGGCAATGGACGTTAGTCCTTCAGCCACACACAAATTGAAAGGTATTACGTTTACATGTTAGATATTAATATTATTTTATATAAATCGTACACAGATTGATTTCCAGTCGCGAGCAACACCTTAACACACGTAGGAAACTGAATACCTACTTTCATAAGATCATCCCACAGGTCATTATTACAAAAACTCTTACAGCAGAAAAATATGTGATCGAGATCTGCGACCTCGTTATCAAGAGAACATAGTGGAGAATCTATCAGTCCTATTTTATATAAATGAGACGGAAAGCACCCACTTATATATTTGATTCGTTATAATATTATCAAATATTTCACAAACCGTTTCATTTTATGTGAGCATGAGAAAAATTAATTCTTCACCTTTAATATTTTTTCATCAGTATATTTAAGTTCCTCTTGCACTATAGTTTTGAGTCGTTTCATTACAATACTTTCTACAAATCGAACTGTATTTGAATTTGTTTTATGGCTGTCTCCAAAATCAAACATTATTAGAAAATTGCATTTTTAATATGTAATGTCTGAGTTAGTTTCCATTTTTATGTCATTTTACTTACTGTTATAGATATTTATCTTGAGATTTAGGATAATCAGTAATAAATAATAACGAAATACTATAATTATATCAACAAAATCATAATATTGATTGGATCTTTTTCATAGCTTAACAATGTTAATCTCAAACTTTAAGAATATATATATAAAGTGGCTAAAAATGCCCCTTGGGTAGATCAATCCGATTCTCTTAGATAATATATTTGCAATATCCCTCCATTTTCCCTATCCTGTTATTTTTCTTGCCAAATATTCACTCATGTCCTGCGTAGATCGTGTTTCACTTCCTTCAACCATCCTGTTCCGGGTCTTCCAGGTTCTTATTCTCAATTCATTTCTGCATTTTCTTCTATTTTTCTTTCCTCCATATTTTTTTCTTTCAGCATTCTCTGCTTTATTTTTATTTTTGTCCAGTTCTTTACAAAGTCGTTTCCTTCATTTCCTGTCATTTATTTTCCTTTTCTTTCCCTAAATTATCTGCTAGTTTTTTGAAGTGTCCTTATTTCCTATTTTTTTAGCCACCTTGTTTATCTTTCCATACTGTTTTACCGCCTTATCTGGTGATATTTCGCTGTATGTTCCTCCAGCTTATTCTCTTTTCATTTATTCTTAGTCATAACATAAATTTTAAGAATAAAACAATCAAAACGTAACACTTCTGCTTACTTATATACAATTTTTTGTTTTAGGATGTTAATGAAAGATACCGCATGGAGAGGTTCCATCGACCTGACCAAACCAAATGAACAAAGCAACGGTACCGTCAACAGTGTTAAAATCGATTGGGACGTTAAAGATCTAGATGTGAGTAACTATTTCGTCTGTAACATCAATAGTTTTCACACAATTCCCTTAAAGTTGGAGAATAGTTCTTAAAATTTGTTTAAAACAAAGTTATTGGGTCTAAATAGTCTAAAAACAATAATTTTTACTTTGTCTTTTTTGTTTTAAATGAAATACTCATATTTAACTTCTCGTAAATTAATATTTTTTTCTTTAAAGTATTGTTCCGCTTTTACGGTATATTATCGAACAGATACTAACGAAAGATAAAGAAGATAGTTATTAGGCGTTTTCAGATCTACCGGTACCAAACACCAGTCATCAGAACAATTGCGACTAGGGATACTGCGATACTACTGATATGATACTGGTATCGACTTTTGTTTCGATACCGGGTAATTTAGTACCCGATACTTTGCTTTCAATACTTTACTCATATGGGTACTACCTTTGTTTCGATACTACTACTTTCGTTTCAATATTTTACTAGTTAAGAACTTTAAAATACAAAGAAAAAGTATATTGTAGGATCACTTTATGATATGGTATGTCAGTGTACCCTATGATCTTTTTTTTGTTGTTCTACACTCTTCCCGATATTCTATTAACACAAGATTTCGAATCCGCCGGTATCGTTGGCTAATGTGCAAACGTATTTTGAATGTACAAACTATTTACCACAGCCGGCTTTGTGATATTTTTTCGCTTTTTCTGAAATTTTCCCGCTTTTCCACGAATTTCACGCTTCTCGGTAAGATGACCTACAGGAAGAACTGAAGGTAGTAGGTGCAATACTCGCTAGTTACTTTTTTACACATTCTTTAGAGGAAGCAGCCATTTTAACTCCAAAACAATGCTCGGCGAGATTGATTTTAAATTCTATGGAACACAAAGTTTTTAAATAATAAAATTGGGAATGGGATACACGCTAAATATTGGGTAAAGAGTAAAAGGTATGGGATCATGTGACTGATAATAATTACGACTCGAAAACTAATATTAACTACATTAAGTTATCCAATGGTTTTGGAGTCCGCCAACAGGATCGTATTTATCATTATTATTATCATCATGGGACCTTTATTGCAGAATAGGCTTTCCATTTCATACAGCGGTTTCGTAGGTAATAATTTGTCTTTTACTTTTCCAAAAAAAAGTCTTTTTTCGACTAGGTATCATGTATGGAGGTATGACATCTAGTGTCACCCATTAGTAAGTGCCCAACCAGCTGTACTTTTAGTCTATAGGCTTGACCGTGTCAATAAAAGGCACAGCTAGTTAGGCACCTTGGCGGTTCGCCTTCACTTGTCATGTTTTAACCTCTTTTATAAGCACATGTACTTATTCGTTTTATACTAAGAACAATGTGTTATTTAGTATTATTTGGAAGACAAATTACAAAGATATTACAGGGGTCTAGTCATGTATATCGCTCTTTAAGACTCTCACCTAGTATAGTTCCAGAGTCATATATTATAAGACTCTGGAACAAATCGCAAACATTAGAGAAATATTGAAAGTTAATTTAAGGCCAGTCAGTATTAGTGCCGCTCTTATTTTGACATCTAAGCATGCGCAGATCGTTTATGTTCTAAAACTGCCTTTATTAAAGATTGTGCTTGTCCTTAATTGTGGATGTTTAAGGGCAACAGGTAGTGGCGACTTTATAGCTTTCGGGTACGCTCGCCGACATTCCGATCCGTTCGAAGTTTTTTAATATTAAATATGAACTGTAGTTTAAAATTTTTAAAATGATGTTAGAAATTTGTATAAGGACAATGAACTCTAATGTCAAAATATCATGTTTGCATGGCTGACATTTGCAATATCTCTCTATTACTTAAAATTTTGGTTTTTAATGTGTTTTATATCATCCTCATCACAGCAGTTTTATGTATTAGCTCTTTGTATATATAATTGTTTAAAATGTGTTCTTTATTTTAAATTATAGATAACAATCGATGGATTGGGACTCATTGACAGACCAGTTGCTGCAACCCTTGCAACCGCCTTCAAGGCCGGTTTAAACAATCACTTGATTAGAAACGCAGTTGGAGATTTCATTAAAATGAGACTCGAAACCATATGGTGGAACACTGGAAAAGTGTGGGACCTCGTCCAATGGTGCAAAGACCACCCAGCTACTTCTACCGATTATTAAAAGTTTAATTAAATTGGAATAGAAACTTAGTTCGATTGTAATTTTTATTAAATAAATTTATTGAATATATTTTAATGGTTTAATTCGGTAACAAACATAGAAATAGTATAGAAAGCCAATTCCATACATTAAAATTGAAAATAAGGGGAAAATAGTGTGTAGGAGCCAGATATAACAGAGATATAACTTTTCATTCATAAAGTAGAATATCTATGATGCCAACATCAGTCAACTTGGTTATCAGGAGAGGAAACACGTGTTGCGTGAGGTAAAGGAGGGGATATACTGACGGACTGAAGAATTTGAAGGCCGTACACGTTTGTTATTCGCAGGGGAGTATAAAATAAATTGCACTGGCGTACCCCAGGAACGGGATAAATTAAATTATCTAAAAATATATGTTATTTAACCCGTGAAAAATTTTGTATTTTAATATAGATATATCGAGCAGTAGTACAAATATGTTTTCTGCAAAATTCGTTAAGTGAGTTTTTAATGCATCAACGATATATAAATTTAGAAGACTTTTAAAGGCATATTTTTGCAGATGATAGGAATTTGTATTTCTAATATGCACCAGAGTTTAATAGGGCTGTACAAAAGTTATCTAAATAAAAAAAATTGAAGCTAATTACAAAATAAATAAAATAATACTATTTCTATAAAATTTGCGGTCGTTAATTTATAAAAGTAACTTATTCTAAATATCCAGGTTTTGTTCTTAAATCAAACACTAATTTCTAGCTCACGTGGATATTAGCTTATCTACGTACAGAATACAAAACGAAAAAGTATGCTATTGCATTCAACTAAACGGATATATTTCATATCTACTCTAGGTAGTGAGAACATTGCAAACAAAATTAAATTCACCAATCGCAGGAAATACTGAGAAAGTAATAGGTATTCTTCCAGATTACAAGCACAAAACTTTAGAAAATTGTCGGGGTGTCATAGCTAAAATCATTTCCAATTTCTTCACAAAAAACTAAGAGGTCAACAAAATTATTTTCTGAAAAATAGCATCTTAGTTAAATTTATCTTAAAAACCATTTTCAAAGTTTCTCAAAAATATTGGCGACAGCTAAAATCATCCCCTTCCATAAATTTAAATATTTTTTTCAAAAAAATAAGAGACGTCACGCTATAAAATTCACAGAAAACAATACTAATGTAATATACTTTCAAATTCTATGTTCAAAACTTAAGAAAAATATCGGCATCATAATATTTTTTTCACAAAAAACTAAGATGCGTCACGCTGTAAAACTCGAAATTTCGTGATTACAATCGAAATTTCGAAATAAAAGTCGAAATTTTGAATCAAATGTTGAAATTTCGAGTTTAAAGTTGAAATTTCTAGTTTAACGTCAAAATTTCGATAATAAAGTCGTTTCGAAATTAAAGTCGTAAATATTTTAGCCCTTCTCTAGAATGATTTACTCTAATATAATATTTATTATATAAAATATCAAAATAGAATTAAAAAAAAAACAATGTAATTAAAAATAATATATTATTACCTTGTGTTTTATTAGTCCGTTTTTTTTTAATAATAAGATAAATGAAGTTACTTTTTGCATTGAAAAAACGTCTCTGTATCTCGGCTGTTCCAATACAAAACACAGTAACTCACATTATGGTCGAAATTTATTTTATTATGTTTTTGTAATTGCTGTGTTTTGCTGAACATTTTGGTATTTTAAAATCTAAAATAGGTTAATAAATAAGAAAAATACAATTCATTGAGAACACAGTAACTGCTCGGTAAAACAGATTTTACCACTGCAAAACACAGTAATTACCAAAATGTATATCAAAACATAGTAACTGCTTGGCAATTACTGTTTTGTTATGATTTTTATTGTTACTGTTTTGTTAGTGAAAAATTCGGATTAAATTCATCTTTAAGTTTGATCCCCACCATTATACTATCCGAGTTAAAACTATAAGTGTATTCCGTCTTGTATTGAGTCAGTCTTCTGCAAATAAGTGAAACAAACAGTTTGTTCTCAGCGAGAGGATGTCCTTATCCGGCGATGCATTAGCTGCATCATGTAGTGCGCGAACACGACGTATGGTGAATACTGCTCGTTCTTGCTCTGAGAAGGTAAGTTAAACCATATGAAATCTTTCATTTCATTTTAAAATTTATGCTTTTTAAGAATGATGACCCATTGCCACAAGAAATTTACTACTTGGATAGGTTAAAGACATTTGCCTAAACCGATTTTTCACTTGAAAATCATAAATCAATTTATTGAAAACCCCGTCGATGATAGTGAGTTGGACAAAGATTAGAATCCTACATCTAGCGATAGCGAATACGATGATAACATTGTAGAACAAAAAAGGAAAAAATAAAGGCGAAAACATCATTTTTTTTTTCATTTAAATAACTCTGTGTTATTTCTAGCAAAACCATATTCAGCTAGAGATCATCAATGAAGAAAAACTAAATGTGGTATATTTTTGTAGAATAATGCTGTACAGTCAGAAAGCCCAAATGAAGAAAGAGAGAGGCAAAATACTGGAGCATTGAAAAGAACTGGAAAAAATTGATAGAGATAAAACCAAACATCCTATAAAGGCCATTTGTGAAGGAAAATGTAGAAGGCAGTGTTGAAATCTAACAGAAGATCATCGTCACTCTATTTGAAATCAGTACTGGAATATGGGCTACACAAGTAGGCGCAAATGGTTAAGCAAACATTCAAAATTAATCCCTGTGAAACATAAAAGCATGTCAGCTCAACATTCAAGATCGGAGTCAAGGTATTTTACTCTACCACTTCCAGATTTTACTGAAATAGCTGTACGCAGACTAACATTTCTAAATACTTTGGGATATACTAATGATTCGGTAATAACCGAATTAGTTGCAAAAATGAAAAAAGTCCCTTGCGGAGATCGGGTAAAGGAGCAGAGAGGAGGAAGTTATGGGCCAGAAGTTAACCGAGCTATAATTAGAAATCACATTGAATCGCTTAATCCTTGCGTGAACCATTAGAAGAAAAAATGCGCAAAATGTAAAATATTTACCTAGGGAGCTCACAGTTAAAATTATGTATGATGATTTTGTTTTAAAACATCCAAATATATGTAAAGTTTATAGGAAAATTCTAAAAGAGATGAATATTTCTCTTCGGCAACCTAAATCAGATATTTGTGAAGAGTGTTCATCTTTAAAAAACATTCTGGAAAACGCAGGTGATGACATCATTCAAAATCAATTCGATTCTCACCGTACTAAAGCTGCGAAGGCAAACGTGGAATATAAAAAAGATTCGAACGAAGCAGCAGCTGCAAGTGCAACAAATAAACGAATTTACTCTATGGATCTACGAAAAGTGATTATTTTACCTATACAGTATAATCTAATTTATTTAGAAACAAATCCATCGCAAAGACAATTACTGTGTTTTGATATAGTATACTTCATTTTTTTAAAAGGAAATCCCATGCAAAACCATTATTTTACCTGCCGCACTATTTGTATAACAACTTATCCTCTTCAAATAACGTTAAAAACAATACTTGAGGTTATAGCTAACCAACTTTAAAATTTGGAAGCAATATCTTTATTTATTGAGTGGGGCTCGAAAATTATCATAAAACTTGATATTTCTCCGTTTTTATAAAAATGTAGTTACTGTGTTTTGTAATGGGACAGCCGATCTGTAAGATGGGAAGTCTGGGTTGCCCCACAGCACTTAGATCTTACTATCCCCATTATGCATCCTCGTTTAGCTCGTCAGCCAGCCTACAAATTAAATGTAGTTGACAACAACAATCCTTCAAATTAAAAAAAATCTTTGTATCATTGAAAATGAAAAAAGAAATTTTAACAATAAAGGGTGTTTACAAAAGCCACTGTCGTGAAGGATTCGTATCCTGTCAGTTCTTTATATGTTATAGAATTATTAATTTTAAACATTTTTCAAAGCTGCTTTGTGAAGTCTAGGATCGGGCCAATAATTTTGTTTTGTTCTTTTGTGTGATTTTGGGTGAAGTAACTGTTATAATTATAATTATAATTATAATATTCCAAGTGCCATGTCTTGAAGCACAGTACGACGCAGTCCTGGTTCCTCCGGACACATTATAAAAGTAATTTGAATGTTTTTTCAACCATAGCTATTTATAAAAATCTCTTGATCAACACAATTTTTCATCATCGATCTCCTCATTTTACTTCTCTATAATACTCTTTAGTTTTTAATTCCATCACAGTATACTCAGCAGCCTGCAAATAAAATATACAAAATCAAATTTATAATAGACACAGTTTTGTGGTAGTCCCCCAAAGTGACAATACAGAAAATAAAACGATACAAATTGGAATAACAATCCACTATAATAGAAATAAGTGTAAACATACAGCAACACCACCAGCCTTAGCCTGACTGCAGCATGGTGCAAAAGAAAAAAATCTTCTTAATATATTTTTATCTTAAATTGAATTGTGAATATGTAAATAGAAAATAGATTTTTTTTAAACTGAAATGATGTTGAAATGTTTTATATTTTTATTATTTTAATCTAATCTTTAACAGCGATACGAATAAAAAAATGCACTTTAAAGATAGATAGATATAAATAAAAAAAGGATACTTATCCACGCGACATTTTCAGATCTATTGTTAAACCACTTTAAACATAATGCAACAAAAATCAATAATTTTCAAGTACTTACTAATAAGTTTATTTGCGTCTATTGAAATAGATCAAAAAAATCCACTTACATTTCTTACTGCTTCCATTGAATCATACATCAACGCCTCCAAAGTATCCTTAACTTTAAAACTCCACAAAATCTTCATAACTTCAATCTTCTGAGTTTTACTTATCCACAGCAAAAAATAACACGACCTTTCTCGCAGCAACGAATCTGAATGTCTCAGCAAGTCCACCAAGTCGACTGGATTTATATCCGGGTGATCGGATTCTAATAGAAGAATTTTTTCTATCACTTCGCCGTTTTCCGGAAGTTGCTTCATAAGACGGGTTAAAATGGCTAAAACGTCTGCCACTATTCTGTTTTTTGATTTGTCTAAAAATATAACAAAAATACAAGGACAATATAACAAAAATAAACGAAACTATAACGAAAAAATAAAACAAAAATATAACAAAAACAAAAATGGACCAAAAATATAACAAAAACAAAAATGGACCAAAAATTTAACAAAAATGTAAGAAAAATTTAAGAAAACTGTAACAAAAATATAAAGAAAATATAAAGAAAATATAACGAAAATATAACGAAAATATAACGAAAATATAACGAAAATATAACGAAAATATAACGCAAATATAATGAAAATATATAACAAAACTAGAACAAAAATGTAAGAAAAATGTAAGAAAATGTAAGAAAAATGTAAGAAAAATGTAAGAAAAATGTAAGAAAAATGTAAAAAAAAATGTAAGAAAAATGTAAAAACAATATCAAAGTAAAAATTAAGAAAAATATAAGAAAAATGTAACAAAAATATAAAGAAAATATAACAAAAACAAAAACAGAACCAACATTTAACAAAAATGTTAAAAAAATGCAAGCAAAATGTAATAAATATAAGAAAATAACAAAAATATAACGACAATACAAAAAAAATATAAATAAAAATATAACGAAAATATAACTCAATTATAACGCAAATAAAAAGAATATATAGAGAAAATATAACGAAAATATAACAAAAATATAACAAAAATATAACAAAATATAACAGAAATATAACAGAAATATAACAAAAATATAACAAAAATATAACAAAAATATAACAAAAATATAACAAAAATATAACAAAAATATAACAAAAATATAACAAAAATATAACAAAAATATAACAAAAATATAACAAAAATATAACAAAAATATAACAAAAATATAACAAAAATATAACAAAAATATAAAAATATAACAAAAATATAAGAAAATGAATAAAATATAACAAATGAATAAAGAAAACTCCAAATCAAAACCACATAAATATTTTAATAAAATTAGGTGCAACCAGTTTCGGCTACGACGCCATCATCAGGCAATATACAGTATGTCCCCCCAAGATTGGAATCATATGGAAAACTTTTTTATTATTAATTTTAGGGAAAAAAAAGTTATTCTTCATAAAAAGTTCTGCATTATCTGAAACCTAGAATACAGTCATCAAATATCAAATTTTTTCAGTGGTATACGAGATTTGTCAAAAAATATGAGTTTTACTCAAGAGTAAAGTACCTTTATTATATATATTATATATATTATATATTAATAATAGAAAAGATTTTCATATGCCGCCAATTTACGTAGACAGTTGGTGGTATAGGAAAGCTTTTTTTAATGCTAATTTTAGGAAAAAAAGTTGTTCTTTATAAAAAGTCGAGCATGGTTTAAAACCTAAAATACAACTATCAAATATCAAATTTTATCAGGCGTATAAAAATAAGGGTACTTTACAGTAAAACTCATATTTTTTGACAAACCTCGTATACCACTGAAAAAATTTGATATTTGATGACTGTATTCTAGGTTTTAGATAATGCAGAACTTTTTTCCTAAAATTAATAATAAAAAAGTTTTCCATATGATTGCAACATAGGGGGACATGCTGTATAAATATATTAATAGTGTTATAATAGCAAATAATGTAGATAGAACAGACAAACGTCCATAGATATGTTGTAAAATTAGTCATTAGAAATAATTAAATTAAAGTACCTATATTAAGAAGTGTATTAACATAAATAGAACAAACAAAAAATACCATAACAAAAATGACTATAACAAAAAACATAAAAATTAACAAAAATACATTAATAGTGTTATAACAGCAAATAATGTTGATAGAACAAAAGACAAACATCCATAGATATGTTGTAAAATTAATTAGAAATAATTAAATTAAAGTACCTATATTAAAGTGTATTAACATAAATATAACAAACAAAAAAAAACACAAATATATAACAAAAATATAGCAAAAAATATAACAGAAAATAAGAAAAATTAACAAAAATATAACAAATGAATAAAGAAAACAAATCAATACCACATATCTTAATGGTATTAAGTGCAACTAGTTTCGGCTAATAAGCCCTCATCAGGCAATAAATTAATAGTATTAAAACAACAAATAATTTAAGTAGTACAACAGACAAACATCCATAGATATGTTGTAAAATTAATTATTAGAAATAGTTACATTAAAGTACCTATATTAAGAAGTATATTAACATAAATATAACAAACAAACATGACTATAACAAAAATATAACACGAAGGACTATACAAAAAAATAACAAAAAAATTCACAAAAATATAAGTATGTAACAAAAATATGTTTGAAATATGTTTGAAATATGTTAATTAGTTTTGGAAATATTCAACATTAAAAATAAAATATCTCTTAATTTATTCATCTGAAATATACAATACTTAATTTTAAATAAAACAAGACCTCTGTTCCCTTTCCAATTCAACAATAGTATATTACGTAACAAGAGTTGTAAGTAACCCATTACGCACGAAGTGAAAAAGTTTACGAGTGCGTAACGGGCTTACAACTCGTGTAACGTACTATACTTTTTCTACGCCCACTTATTTTTTTCTATTAAATAAAGGACGTATGCTTGTGTCGCCAATCCATAAAATTCGAAAGGTAATTTCGTACTTTTTTTGAATTTTAACGGTAACAAATTAGTGACAGCTTTTTCTAAAATCTCCGGTGGAGTGCTCATAATTTCATCACTTTCACTACTAACAGATATATTCATAGGTTAAGAAAATGTTCGAATACAATATTTTGTATAATGTATAATGTGTTGCCGACATTTAGGGGCATCACTTTTTTAATTCAAAATGTATCTCGCTAAAACTAAAAGTTTTTATGTTTTTCAATTGACTAAATTTATGTAAATAGACCAAATAAAGTTGAACGTAGATAAAAATTTGATTGCAATTTGATTAAACTAAGAAATTTAAGTTTTCTTATCAAAACGCACGTGTATGTTATGAGATCTCATTACGAGCATGTTATTGTTAAATGTTATTTACAAGGAATGTTGACAGTGCGATTTTTAACGTTTACTGACATGGGCGTAAAAAAATTCTTTAAAACATTTAAAACTAAGACACGGGATAAATATAAAACGTTTCAGTACTTACTAGTAAGCGATAAAACCAATTTCATCAGCAAGTAAACGGATAACACGACTACAGAGTCGCAAAATTGTATTAAAAAATCATCGTCGACGTGCACCAGATGTGCGATGAGTAAAAAAATTTGTTCCAACGCCTGTAAATCCTCGTCGTTAAGTTCTGAAAATTTTCTGTATCGCTCCACGTTCAATGGCAAAGGAGAATTTATGGGCGAAGATGTGTCGGTGGACGAATCCTCGCGGCATTCGCGTAAAAGAAGTTTTGAAGCGTACACTAAATTTGGGATTAATTTAACTTCCAGATATACCTAAAAATATTGTAGTGTCGGTATTGAAATTGTTATTATTTTCGAGTAGAGTTCAAAATAGGGCTGCCAAAACCAGTACTTTAGTACTGAATTCAGTACTTTATCAACATTTTCAGGAGTTGATGAAATAAATTCAAAAAAATTTTCTTAAAAGTTTGAAACTTATAAGTTCGATTGGAAAATTTTGCGAAAGTACAACAGTTCGATTAACAAAAATTTGAAACTATAAAAATTCAAAAAAAAAATATGGAGAATTCTGCTCTGAAAAGAAAATATATAAAAGAGAAAAGATACACCCGGTCAAATTTTGGTCTCTTAAAAAAAATTCTAGTAGTAAAACTTGGTAAATAAAAACATGTACAAAATGTCCGCAATCCCATTGAAAATCGTCGCAATTCAATCAAAATCAATGGACAATCGTTAAGAAATCGTCGGTCGTTTGTTTAAGTTATGTTTGTTTAAGTTAAGTTTGTTTAAGTTTAAGTTAAGTTTGTTTAAGTTAAGTTTGTTAAAGTTTGTTAAAGTTTGTTAAAGTTTGTTAAAGTTTGTTAAAGTTTGTTAAAGTTTGTTAAAGTTTGTTAAAGTTTGTTAAAGTTTGTTAAAGTTTGTTAAAGTTTGTTAAAGTTTGTAAAAGTTTGTTAAAGTTTGTTAAAGTTTGTTAAAGTTTGTTAAAGTTTGTTAAAGTTTGTTAAAATTTGTTAAAGTTTGTAGTTTGTTTAAGTTTGTTAAAGTTTGTTAAAGTTTATTTAAGTTTGTTTAAGATTTGTATTTGTATAAGATTTTAATTTTAATTCGGTCTCCATTGTAATATAGGTATTACCGCCCGTTTAATTTTAAACATATCAATTTTTAAATAAAAAAACAATCCTTACTTTTCTAATTTTCACCAGACACTCCTGACTAACACCCTTGATAACGAACGGTATCGATAACAATCTCACCACAAAACTCAGAACCCTTGAGCTAGCATTGGGATTCCTCAACGGCGAGACAAGCACGTTTGCTTGACTCGATTCTGTAAGCGACACCATCTCGCCGTTCATCACTTCTTGAATTGTACGTGTTAAAAAAACTATCCACTCCTCAGTTTCAATAGGTTGATTATCTTCAATGAAAGTGAATGTCCGTATTGGACCTAAAATAGAAGTAGAGCACTCTAAGAACCTTTAGTGTTAGTAGAAAAAGGAAATTGTGGAGAATATAGTTGGAGTAATAATCTAAATAATCCTTTTGGTTCTAAAATAGAAGTTAAGCACTCTAAGAACCGTTAGTATTAGTAGGAAAAGTAAATTGTGGATAAAATAGTTGGAGTAACAATCTAAATGATTGTGTTTGGTCTAATATAAAAGTTGAGCACTCTAAGAACCTTTATTATTATTAGAAAAAGGAAATTGTGGAGAACATAGTTGTAGTAACAATCTAAATAATCGTATTGGGTCTAATATAGAAGTTGAGCACTCTAAGAACCTTTAGTATTAGTAGAAAAAGGAAATTGTGGAGAACATAGTTGATGTAACAATCTAAATGATCATATAGGGTCTAAAATAGACACCGAGCACTCAAAGAACCTTTAGTATTAGTAGGAAAAGGAAATTGTGGATAACATAGTTGAAGTAACAATATAAGTTATTGTATTTGGTCTAAAATAAAAGTTGAGCACTCTAAGAACCTTTAGTATTATTAGGGAAAGGAAATTGTGGAGAATATAGTTATAGTAACAATCTAAATGATCATATTGAGTCTAATATAGAAGTTGAGCATTCTAAGAACCTTTAGTATTAGCAGAAAAAGGAAATTGTGGAGAACATAGTTGGAGTAACAATCTTAATGATCGTATATGCAGTAATTTATTTTCATATATATGTTTTTTTTTGCTATGTTAATCACATCTTGTAATACATACGTTATTTTTGTAGTCTACTTTAATTAAGGAGTAAACATTGGTCCTACGAGCCGGTTTTTTGGTTCTATAGTGCTCAACAATAATTGTAAGTTTGGTTTCTACAAATTATCAATAAGGAATCCCGGAGTTAGAGCATCAAGTCGGTACAAGCAAAATTGAACCTCGTGGAAAAAATAAGTGGCTGACGGTAACTGCATTGGAGCCAGGCGCAAATCAGGGAAGATTTTTCGGTGAAGATTTTTTGGTGAAGACTTTCCGGGGAAGATTTTTCAGCGAAGATTTTACGGGGAGGATTTTTTGTGGAAGATTTTTCGGGGTAGACTTTTCGGGGAAGTGTTTTCGGGAAAGTTTCTCTCATGAAAGATTGTTCGGGGGAGGAGAAATTACAGGTCTTAAAACGTTTTGGTTGTTTTATATTAGTGATCTTCATTAATCCGTTAGCAAGGTAGTTAAGAGGAAATATACAATTACAAAAGGTTTGTCATGCAACACTTGTTGATAATAAAGAATGGAGCTAAATATTAGGGGAAAATTGTAGGATAGAAGAAAATGGATATAAATAGGCCAGTAAGTACTCAAGAAACAATAAAAATATTTCAAGGATATTCCAAGAACACAACATTCTAATTTGACTAAAAAAAATCAATAAATCGTTAAAAAAAATTAATCAAAATTCTTACTTTTCTCCTCACTTTTTTGAGTAACAGTCTCAGCGTTCTTAGAAGAATTCATTTTCAAATTTTGCATACTAGCCGCCAACGATTTTGTATTGGATGTTGATGCCTCTTTTAAATTTGCAGCTTCCTCTAGATTATTATTTTCCAAATCTTGGTTCTCAGATTTCTGCTGCTGATCAGATGAATTTAAAGAATGTTTGCTTGTTTTAGCAACAGGAGGTTTGTTCAGTGTGTGTTCAGGAATGTCATTGCTTTTGGCTGAGGTTCTGGAAAAACAGTTTAAATGCTAATAATTAAAGTATACTGGGCGTTACTAATCTCTAGAGTACACAAGCAATAAAATTCAAACATAAATTACAATTAAATTGAAATGATTTTGTACTTGTAGAAATCTAATAATAATTAAAAATCACAAATTATTAATTAAAATTTATCTTGATGATGTTTTTATAATTTTGATGTTTTTGACGATATGATATTTCTGATGAAGTTTCCGAGATGTTTTGACGATATGATATTTCTGATGTTTCTGAGATGTTTTTAACGATATGATATTTCTGATGATGTTTCTGAGATGTTTTTAACGATATGATATTTCTGATGATGTTTCTGATGTTTTTGAGATGTTTTTGATGGTGATGGTTTTGATGTTTTGATGAAGTTTTTGATGATGTTTTTAATAATATATTTATGTTATTTTTAATAATATATTTATGTTATTTTTGATGTTAATATTTATAATGACCTTTTTGATGATGTTTTTGATTGTAATGTTTTTGATGGTAATGTTTTTGATGAGTACAGAAGCAATACAATTCAAAACACAAATGACAATGAAATTAAAATATTTTTTTTTTTACTTGTAGATATCTAATAATAATTAAAAATCACAAATTATTAATTAACATTTATCTTTTATGTTCATTGATGATGTACCTATTTGATGATGTTTTTAAAATTTTGATGATTTTTTGATAATATGATACTTCTGATGATGTTTCTGAGATGTTTTTGAGATGTTTTTGGGTTGTTTTTGATGTTTTTATAATTTTGATGATGTTTTTGACGATATGATATTTCTAATGATGTTTTTGAGATTTTTTGATGGTGATGGTTTTGATGATGTTTTTGATGATGTTTTTTGGTGATATTTTTATGTTTTTAATGATGTCCTTGATGATGTTTTTGATGATGTTTTCGAGGATGTTTTTGATGATATATTTGATATTTTTGATGTTTTTGATCATATTTTTGATGATGTTCTTGATAATATGATTATGATATTTTTGATTATGTTTGATGATGTTTTTGATAATAACGTTTTTAATGATCTTCTTTGAATTTCTTTGATGTTCCTCGATGTTCTTTGTTCCAATATAGAACAGAGTACATATACTTTGAGAAAATAATGAATTTATGTATCTAATCATATTAATTTTATTTCTGATGATCCTCAACATTCTTAACTACCTACTCTTGTTTATATATTTATAAATAATAAAATAACTAAAGTGAATTAAATTGCTTACTTGACTAGTTTATTCTTCATACTTTCTTTCCTTTGCTGTTCCTTAGCATGAGAAGTATTTGGAGACAAAGACCTTGTCAAAGGTTGCAGAGAAACATTTTTCGTAATATTTATATGACCTTTTACAAAGGGATGAACTAGAATTTCGTTCCATGTCATTCTTTTTGCCGGATTTTTTTGTAGTAACCCCTTGAAAACATAAACATTTTAATATATTAAATATTATTACATTTTTAAGTGAGTTTTTTTAGAAAAGATACAACTATGAAAGAGTGATACTTTTTGAGACAAATGAATAGTCGTTATAGTGCTAAAACTTAATTCAATGAAGCTTTTTTAAACTTTTTTAAGCTTTTTTAAGTTTTTTTAAGTTTTTTTAAGCTTTTTTAAGCTTTTTTAAGCTTTTTTAAGCTTTTTTAAGCTTTTTTAACCTTATTTTAAGCTTTTTAAAGCTTTTTTAAGGTAAATTTGAGTTTTTAAGATTTTTTTCTCATTTGGATTTAATTTCATATTAATAATTGTAAATTACCTTTAAAAATGAAATGCAGCTTGCCGATAAGAATGTAGCCAAGTTGTTCCATTGAATTTGTTCGTGTCTGATCAGTCTTATCAAGTGTAATATAGAAGAAGTACAAAATGGTGGAGATCCCATTAATAATTCATAAATTATACATCCTAGTGACCATAGATCTGCAGTATAGTCGTAAGGTTTTTCATCAATGAGTTCAGGTGCCATATACAAAGGAGTTCCTAAATATAATATTTATTAAAAAGGTATTCTTAATGACAGATGTGTTAAATACCTTTAATAGAAGTCAAAACATGAGTCCCAGTGCTCATATTTCTTGCAAAACCAAAATCACATAGTTTTGCTACATTATTTACATCCAGTAATATATTTTGAGGCTTAAGATCTCTTGAAAAAAATATATATATAATTATAAATTTGTGGATATAAAAATTTAATTGATATAAATACCTGTGAAGAACTCTATTTGAGTGTAAATAATACAAAGCTGATACAAGATCCCATACAATCGTTTGGACTTTTTCTTCTGGTAAGTACCCAACTTTTCCCAATACTGTTGTTAATTCTTTATGAGCAAACTCTGTTATGACTACAATCTAAAAAATTAATACAACATAGATAAAGAATGTATTTAAAAAAATATCTATATCCCCGAACCAATTTTACTAATATTAAGCAATGCCTTTACACAGTATTTCATTACTTTAATGAACAGCAACAGAATATTAATATCCTAGAACCTCTATGTCTTCAAAGACCTAAACAAATATACAAATTTAAATACTGCAAAAAAAAACATATGGAAATGTCTCTAGAAATATTTTTAAAGAGCCATGATGACCCAAAATCACATAGTCCAAGATGAGGAAAAACAACACAAGTGGATTCTATTTAGGAAGAGATTTTAAATGTTTTTTATTTTTAATTAGTTTAAAATCTGAAGAACTATTCAAATAGTGTTCATTTGTTTTTGTTAGTAATTTTTTGTATCCTAAATATTGTTGAACAGCAATGCTTGAACATAAGATTATAAAAAGATTCTAATATTGTAGAAATATTTCATTGGGCTGATGCACTCATCATTATAACTCATCATAATAACTCAATAAAAAAAATCAAATTTAAATAACTAGTCCGCCTGTTTTGTGTTAGACTATTTAATAGAGCTAAGTACACGCCCTAGAAAGGGATCCTGTGAAATATAATTAATGAATTTAAGAACTAGATCACAATATATATGTAATTTATTTAATCCTCAATGAGGGTCTTAAAGTAACAGTATTTGAAGTAACTATATTTAAATATTTTTCGAGATAAAATATAAAGGCTTATAAAGAAAGCCTCAACGGAAGCTACATATACATAATATTAAAGTGTATGTACACCTACCTCATTTTCTGTTTCAAATGAATCCAACATTTGTATAATATTGGGGTGATGTAAATCTCTTTGTATTTCACATTCTCTTTTAAAACCTTTCAATTCTTTTGCTGACCTTCCTCTCTGAAATGAACAGGAAAATTTAATTAATTTAAAGCTTTTATTAACAAAAATAGAATTTTTCTTACTTTGCTGATTACTTTGAGGGCAACTAAGATTCCTGTAGAAAGCTGTTTAGCTTTATACACTCTTCCGAAAGAACCTTCGCCCAATGTTCCAATGACTTCGTATTTATCCATAATATAATTTTATTTAGTTTTTATTATTTGATATTTAAATGCCCATTGTTTATATTTACAATAACCTGAATAGTAATATTTAAATTCTTCTTTTTATTTTTATTGTCACACTGTGCTTTGCCAATGATGTATATCTGTACAGATTGGTCATCCATATGTAAATAAGAAGACAAAAAGCTGGTTTTACTGAACGAAGTTTTATCTTTATCTAATACCTATACGGGTCCTGACGACTTTAGAGCCGATTCCACCGTTGTGTTAAACAGAGATTAAAGTGAAATTGTTAATGTAAAAATGTCATTTTAAACTTTGTTTAACACAACGGTGGAATCGGTCCTTAGGGACAGTGGAATTTTAAAGAAATTTATTTTTTGGCCGCTCGCAAACGACCAGCTTTGAGCAATCTATATAACTATATATGTATAATTGACCCTGTTAATTGTCAACATGACAACAGGGTTGCCATATCTAAACTGTCAGTCCCCCAAGTCCCCCATTCGGACAGGTCGTTGGAATGCCTAATACTACTATACGTATTCATACAGATATTTGTAAGAGCTTTAAAGTTTTTTTTTTATATATAGCCAAAAAACATCTGTACGTAATTAGTAAACGTATTTATCTACTGTAGCAGGCCAAATCCTAAAAAAGATGACATGACATTGACAATTGTGACGTTTATAAATGTTTTTCTAGGTTAGGTTAAAAAAGATACGTTAAATAATTTAAAAATGTCTGTAAAAATTGATCCTAGAGATGTTTTATCTTACCTAAATGAACTTGGTTATACAAATATAAGTGCTCAACAGTTAAAGGAATTCATAATAGGTAAGTAATCATTGTTAATTATTTTATGAAACAAAAATTAACTCTAGTACTTTTAGATCTCAAAAAAATCATTAAATACGAGCACAGGCGTCGAAAACATCTAGCACAAAATGAATATAACATATTTTTCCCGACCCAAAGCGCAGATAATTATTCAGAAGATTATACAGATAGACAAAAATCGCCTGTTAGGGTACAAAAACCTGATATTTTTGAAACCCTTCACAACCTACCGACTGAAGCTTTTAAAGCAAAAATTGTTAATAAGAAAGATAAACAACCTATTGCCATACACATAAAACAAACAAAAAAGAAATCGCCAATACATGAGCATTGTATACACATTGACAAGTTGGACATACAACCAATTCTATCTAGCAAAACTAGTGAGGATGACAAAAATCTTACAGATAGCAATACAAAAAAGACTGAATCAAATTTGGGAGCTGAGAAGAAAGATGAAAATAAAACTGATGGATCTAAAAATGATTTAGAAATAGGATCAAGTAGGACAAGCGGTTTAAGGCCTAATTCGAAACAAAGTCAGAGCTCCTCTGGGAAAAGTACAAAAATGAAGAAACCTCAAACTCAAGGTACAGAACTAGAACAAAGTTAAATATCTTTTACTAGTATTTTTATATATTTTTTAATTATTAAAGTTATCATTTATTTATTAGCAATGCTTTGATTTCAATTGAAGTGATATTTAATTTTTATTTTTTATGAAAAAACCTATTGATCAGAGGTTAATAATAATAATCTTTATTCCCACACAAATAGTTGTAAATTATAGTGAAAACAATTTGATAAATAATATGCATGTACACCTGAGTGTGAGAATGAATTTCATTTTGTTGTAGGGTTGTGGCATATACTTAGTAGTATGTTTTTCAATAATATGCCTAACAGAAAAAAAATTTAAATACTATTTGATATGTTAAAGAATGTAATCTTTAGGAATAAATGCATCTACTGTGTTAGAAGCATGTTATTCTTGGATTTTTTTTTTATAAAAGGGGAATAAATTATTTCTCTTTGCCATCGGTCCACCACTAGTTCTTTACTTATGGACACTAATTTTTAAGTAGCATTTTTAAATATTTGTTATTGTCATGGGGGTTGATGTAGATAGGTCTTGAACAGGTTGAGCATTTTAGCTCTTTAAGGTACATGAGATCATTGAGAAGAACTTGGATTCAAGGAAGGTGTAAATTTCTGAATCATTATATAATTCTGCCTCAGACTTCTCCTGCATATTTGTATCATCATTTTCTTTAAGAGGGTTTTGGGTATCGAGAATATCATTTGTAATTATACAACTCAGATACTGTTTCAGCATCTTTCCAATCAGCTCGTTAGTGTAAACTGTTGCAGCATATTAACTTGTTTATTAGATTAGAAACAAAATAACTACATGTCCCTCGACCCACACAATAACTAGTGGCCAGATTTTTCTTTTGGCCACTAAGATGGCCATTACTAGTGACCAATTTGATATTTATTCTTTGTTGAAAAAATATAATGTTGAAAACAATCTACTTAAAACCTCTAGAATTGCAAATATTCAAAAAATATTCTTGATAAATTGGATTTTCTTCCTGATTCTTAGCCAAAACAACATGTGTTGCTTGCATGCTATGTATATATTTTATGTTTTTTAGTTGCTAACCTGTCCAGTCATATTGCTACATGCTCATTTGCCTCCTCTAACCACTACAATTGTTTACATTGTTGCCAAATGCTTATTTTTGAATCTAAAAGGAACAAATCGCCATAATTATCAGAATTACATATTACATTTTTATACCTCATAATAGGCAAGATAGGCAACTGTCTAGCACGGGTATAATATTGTGAGGTATCTTTCTCTATATTATAAATAGTGAAAAAAATATTGTAACCTAATATATAATCTTGAATTTGAATAAACACTTATAAAAAACTAAATTACAAAAATAAATAACTACAATTTAAAATATTTGTCAAAAATTTTTAGACTACTTATAACAAGTGATATCAAAATTTAAAAATTCTTTTATTTTTATTACTAATTGAAATCGATTGTTTTTTTTTTTTTTTAATAAAGTGTGGGAGTTAATTTTTTTGATGTCAGGCCTGAACAATATTTTTAAATAATTTTGAACCTACATTAAAATACCACTATAATTCCTTGTAATCCTCAATTAAAAAGAGGATAGTCTGATGATTTAGTGTCAAAATGGCAATTTCTTTTTGATTAATCATTAAAAATTATTATATATTTGGGTGGTTTATTTTTTACCTAAACTAAATGTATAGTTTTGTTTATCTTTTAGTTTATGAACTATAAAAAATAGTGTGTTAATACTAATATATTCCTTCTGTAAGATATTTTAAAAAGCATAGGAAAAGCCAGGTTTATGCAGTTTTTATATCTATAGAATATATTATGTGGATATTGAGGTTTAAAATGAATTCCATTACAGCATTTTACATTTTTTTTTATAAAAAACAAAAACGCACCGGGCGCGTTGTGGGCACAGGTCACGTGTCAAACTATAGTCGGTGTCCATAACCGCGTTTGGTGCGTTCATCTCAGCCCTAACAAAATTGGTATAATTTTATTTTTATATTTAATATAAAATAAAAAAATATTTTGAGTGAAATACTCTAAAGCATGGTTAAAGACAACGCCCAGGGCCCCCAGGACACTGAGGACAATAATAGTAGGAGTCCAACAAACATTACATCTTCTCCTTTTAGCCTTTCCATTATCTCCTTTTGGACAGTACTCTGGAAGAGACTGAAACCTAACCTTAGGTATGGGATCTGCTGGATGTGGTCCAAGCAATTCTTCTAATCTGAAGTCATACAAGGACTTACGATTTCCATTGCCTGTTTTGTACAAATATAATGAATTCAGTAACTTGATTTGAAATATATGGATAGCCAGTTTTTTTGTACCAGACAGATTCTTGTGCTAACATCAATAATATGACAACATTTAATCGCAATGATCACCACCTGCCATAAATTTGTTGTGTTCATTTATCATCTTCAGCTTCATCACCACTTGACTACGTTGTGTAGTCCATTAAATTCATTGGAGATAGGTAAAATTTCTTCGCTATCTTTTCAATTTAAAACACAAATTCTCTCAGTATTGAATTGTATAATATTTAACTTTTTGGGTAAAACTTCGGGAGGATTTCCACTTCTATTTGATCTGAGTTTTTCCGTTACATATGTTTTTTGATCTAATAAATCCCTGATTAATTTTATGCTATTATAGAAGCTGTACATGAACAGTAAATGTCCAATGCCTAAGTAAGCTTGTAGAAGAGATATGATTACTTTTTCTGTGTGCAGAGTACCAGATAGTCTGCAGCTCCTGAATATACGATTCATATTTTGTAAGTTATCGTCGATGTCTGAAATCTCACTATCAGAATTGTCGCCGAAATTTACTCAATATACTTTTACCACCACGCTTCATATATTCAAAATCAATATTTTTCATCAATCTACATAGGGTTCTTAAAGATAACGATGCTGAATTCTCATTCCCTCGAATTATATTATCAATTGCAAAGTTGGCGGAATGTTTAAAAAATAATTGTGCACAATCATATGTATATTCACGAGAATTTGACTGCCTTATCCGCTTTTTTCACTTACCCCATTCGTTTTGGAAGCACTTCTGTAGTCACACTCAATTTATCGTCATTGACTAAGTAACAAATCATATTAAAAATAACGCATGGAGCATTTATCCGTGTTTGAACTTTTTAAACTCCATGTTGCAGGTGAGAAATCACAACTGAGCCGACCCAAAAAAAAGTTATTGAGTAATTAAATGTCAGATTTGTTAATTATAAAAAATTCATGGTCTTTCAATATGCGAATTTTTAGGGTAGTGGCACAATAGGCAGAATTTCAGCTACAGACAATATGCCGCAGATCTTTGCGTAGTAAATTCAAATGCTAGGGGTTTCAACCAATCTTCAGCTCAATGTAGCAAGTTAATGAATTTCTCGTAAGAGATTATAGGATTTGTCTGCAGCGGATGTTCTGCTGCTGATGATCGGCGGCTGAACGTCTACCTAATGTGGCGCTAGCTTTAAAAATTTTAAAAAGAAAATATTTCACTTGGATTTTTTGGTTTTTGTGAGTCTACTCCTCTCTGATAGCACTGTTTGGTTAAAGATAATTTAGTGTTAAAGGAAGTAGGTAAAAAAATACCTACATATTGTCCTTTTAATTTATTCTACCATCATAGATTCCAGTTCAAAATTAGACGCCACGCTGAACCCATTCATTAAGTGCATCACAGATTTTTTCTCTGTATCAGTATTTGCTTTTAGACCAGTAATTGACATGGTTTGTCAATAACTGGTTTTGTTTGTTCAAGTTATTAACACTATTAAAAACGAGGTTAGGGGATTTAAAAGTATAAAAGCCAGTAAAATCCCATCAGTGTTTAATAAATTACCCAATAAATTCAACATGAAGTAATGAGATATAGAGATATTCAATTTGGTCTTTCCAATCTTAAGAGTTTTCTTAAAATAAATACCCTATCACTGCATATACTATTTTAGCACTGACCGTAATAACGTTATCTCGTTTTATATTCATATTTTAGAAGAAACTATTTTGAAATGAATTAATTGATTTCATTAATTATAAATCAAATAAAGCGAATTCTAATCACGAAATATTGTATTTTTTTTTAATAGGATTTCGCAGATTAATTATCTTTTAAACACACCCCCAAGTTTGCATAATTAATTTTTTTAACTTCTTCATATCTATCGTAAGAAATGATAATAAAACTATTTATAATACGTATTTATTCAAGTTTTATTATGCAACACTAACTTTTTCTTAAACAAATACGCCTTGTATTATGCAAGGATAGTTCACACTATGGTTGTAGGTATTTATAAACATTTATTGATATTATACAGTTAGTTGTCAAATGAGTAAGTTATTTTTGGGATAACAGGCCATTCTTTAATATTAAAGGTTGATATTTTTTGATATAATAATAATCAAAATGTCTATGATAGACAAAGTTAACTTGTTTGTATGTTTCATAATTATACAAACTTATGTTACATTTTCTAAACTTTCCTAGAAGTCTAAATCTATTGAGGCAACCGAGACAGAAGTAGATCTAGGATTATACTGAAAAGATGTTATTGCATTATTGAAAACGTTTTTTTAACCTACAAATTGTATAAATTATTCTATAGCAACGTTTTATAGTTGTTAACTATGTAAGTTAATGTATAGGTAATTAGCAATGCTTCAAAATTGAAGAATATGCAATTAAATTAAATATACTTCCCAAGATTTTACATTATAAAAATTTTACTTTGTCTTTTAAGTTCTACGACCATCCACGTCCACAAAATCCATAAACAAATGTGATCCAGTGGCCCTTTATCATCAATACCAGAAACAATGGAAAACTATCAAATTTCCAGGCCAAGAAAGCCATTTGGATTTGAGGTGGGCCATCAGAGAGAAGCTTATGGACGGGCCAATCGTGGAAGTTAAAAAGAAAGCAAGCGCTAAAAAAATAGCGTTTGCTTGAGTGCCGGTAATTTTAAGAATAAAGTGTTTTTAAATAAATTGATATTAAATTTAATTATTTTTCATATAGTGTTTTATTAAAATAATGCAGACAAATGGTAATACCCTCGGAGTAAAGCTCTACTGTACTATTCATAGCAGATATTATAAGACGTAACATTCTAGGTTTATGTTCGAGACGTTTTCATGGAAGAAGCTAAAGAGCAGAAAGTTTGTTAACTGCCATTAAGTAGTCAGGGATATTCAAGGACTTACTTTATTTGAAAATTAATCGTTCTGAAAAATATTTAATTTTTCATGGGAGGGGTTTCTGAAAACTATAGGGGGGGTGGTGGATTTCATCAAGAAAGTGAATAAAAACAGTCAATAACGATCAGTGCTAATACTATATAGCGAAAATGGTGACGCGAGGACCCTTCAAGGGGGTATGGGGGTTTTGACTATACCCTTATTTTTTATGTCTATAAAAGTTTTAGAGATATTTTTTTGTAAAATGATATTATTATACCTTTTGTTTTCTACTAGAACAGGGACATCTTTATCATTTTTTAAACGGAATAGAAGAGCCAAAATATAATTTATACGTTATTGAAAAGAGACTCACCTTGTATAAAAACCATGCTGCTTTCTTTGCATCCCACTAACGGCATTATTCGATCCATATCCAGACATTTTCTTACACTCAGGAAATCTTCTGTTCCCGGCGACGTCAGTTCATTCCAACATCAACAATCATGCTATCATTCCCTACCTCTAATTACAGCCCCTAGATACTCTTACAATTTATTAACATTCCAAAACCAAACACTTTAGTGTCATATTACAGAAGAAAAACAAGAATTTTAAAGTTTATATCTGTGATTGATTCAAGTAAGTTGAATAATTATATGAGATATCACCGGGCAGTATCGCTGCAGCCTTGTCTATTTGATCCAAGAATTTACATCAGAAATTAATTATTATAGAGCTAGCACATCTTAGAATTAAATTCTAAAAGATTTAACCCTTAATAAATGATTTCAAAAGACGCAAATAGCGTGAATCAAATATCTTTATTGTCAGAGAGAAAAGGAATGATCCCAGACAAAATCGTTGATGTAAATATAAAAATAATAACATCAACGATGCCAAACACTCAAAAAACTAGCAGCTAAAATTTAAAAATTTCCTTTCAATGAATGATTATTTAAAAAATATTTACATTTTTTGAATTTTACGAATTAACGCAGGCACTTATTTCTTTAATGAAAAGTTTTAGGATATAAAATTGTTTTTTACGTAGAAAAAACAAATTAAAAACCAATCTAGAGGTTTACCAACATTTTTAAAATCGATTGAAACCCAAAAATATGATTTTAGCTGAATAAAGTAACTATATTTATTTATAAATTATTAGATTAATTTACCAAATCTGAAAAGATTATATGCATATTTTTAATTACTGGGTAAACCTCACTTTTTTTAAATTATCTCTGCAAAAAAACTTTTATTTCTTGACCAAAAGTACCCATATAGGTATATTTGCGCCTCTCCCTCGTATATAATGAGAAAAAATAATTATAAAATAATATTTCTGTGCCTATACATAGTTTTTATACACATAACATTGATTACTCATTAAATATTTAAAATTTGCTATTACTATACTTATTTATTTTAACACATTCATTCTCCTACCTTTACACGAAAAATCTACGGCACTGTTAAACTGGTATGCAAGCTGGAAAAGAAGAAAATACCTAATAATCCCCTAGTCAAAAAGAATCAATAAAAAAGTCAACAGAACGAAAAATTTTTTTTGGTATTATATAAAGATTATAGAAAAGTATTTTGTCTAATCAATATTTTTTATTCTTACAGTTCTTTTGGAAAACAAAACTTTCAGTTCAGATATACTTGAACTCAAAAATGCTTTTTTAACTATGGAAACTACTAAAATGTACCTATAGGTGCTGTAGATAGGTAGGTACCTAGGCTCTAGGTATAAACTTGCTTAAGGCCACAGTACCACTCCCAATGTTCGTAACATGAACTAAGTGTGATAGATGTCATTTATGTGTAATAAATTAAGAATCCTTCTGTTCAACAGATGGAGCAATATTCCATATTTAATAGTCCTTTTGTTCAACAGATGGCGTAATAATTTTATTAATTCTAAACAGTAACTGTTATAAAATAACAAATTCATCACCCCTAGCCACTCGCGATGATAAGTAAATGAGTTCTTGACCTTGTAGCAGGTACCTAAATAAAAGTTTTGGATTAGATTCGGGACATCGGTATATTTACTTAGTAGTTGATTCTTATGTCCAGTCAACAAAGGACAAAGGTCTTCGTATCATTACGTAGGGACCTATTATACTATACATGGTGTTTCGTTAAGAATAGGATATAGAACAACTGACGATTCTCTGATTAAAAATAAGACAACTAAACAAATCATGCTTAGATAAACTGTTTCTCGTTTCCGAATTACGGTGTTAAAATCCAAAAAATATTTATGGCTATATTTTTTTTTATTACTCACAACAATTTTACTAAATTTGTCAAACGTTTTTAGTGCCATAATATCCACCTATGTATGTCACTATCCAAAAAGTTATTTGGACATAAAATTTAAAATTTTTTTTTAAATAAATAATGTACTCTTCTTAGAAATTTAATAAAAATTTCAGAATTTCCAAATATGTGTGAATATCTCAAAAACTAACTCAATTTTATTTGAAAAACATCAAATGTTTTTGGACAGTGTACTAAAATTTAGACATACGCCACTGGAAAAGTTCATTTAACTTATTTTTTTGCTGATAGGTGTATTTTATTACACCAATAACGTTTGCCGAATTTAGTAAAATTAAACTGAGTAATAAAAAAAATGTAGCTATTCATAATTTTTGATTTTCAACTTTAAAACCCTGTTTTTCAGAAACGAGTAATGTTTTACCTACGGATGTTTCGTTTAATCGGCTTATTTCTAACCAGTTAATCTTCAGTTGCTCCCATTATTCTTAATGGAATACCCTGATATATAACATAGCAAATGAATGAAGTCAATTAAAATTATTTGACGACCTGAAAACAAATATGTATAACTACCTGCAGGTTGTTTTGCTTTAAAAATGTACAGGTTTGGTGAACACCTCGTTTATGGACCACTTTGTATGTTTAACAATAATTTTTAAATATTGTCATACAACTTTTATATTATTTTTTTTTATTTTCAATAATAAAACAGCTATCGATGAATTACTCACTGATAGGACACTCTGTATATGTGTTATTCTCTAACATGTTGGTATTGTTGGATAGGCAAATTTATAAGGAATTGTATGCTAAAATATTATACCAGGTGTTGTCTTTGAAAAAATTAGGTAAATTGAACTTAAAAGTAGCCATATATAAAACATATTTCAAAACACTCATAAAAGAATCCAGCACTATTACCACTATTCATTATTTTAATGTGCTATAAGTCTGTATAATAAACAATTTTGAAATTAATGTAATCCTACCCAAATTATGATAATTTAATTTGGGGTCTGCATCATTCTCTAATTGCATAAAAATTTAATTGCTTGGCAAACCTGTAATATAATTTAAAAACATTCTAGGCTTGAATACAGTATTACCAAACCATTCTCAAACTGAAATAAAATACATGTGATTCTATTTAAAAAATATGCCAGGCAAAAATGTAACACCCTATATATCCAAAAATATTTTTAAAATATGTATTTTCCAAATCCATATAACTTTTCTTTGAAACGTGTTTACGTGTCTTTAACACAAATTAAAATATTGAACAATTACGCACTAATGGGACATACACATGGGTATATACACATAGCAGTCAACGTGTTAACTCAGAAATAAAGTTCCTTATAAAGATAAAATAACATTCAGAAGAAGGAAGCAAGTCCCGCAAATATTACGTGCGTACCATACAGTGATGCCAGGTCATTCGGATTCAAATTACAACGGAATGCAGTAAAGTTCCTTTCCTTTCCTGCATTTCACCTACTTTAAAATTAAATTCTTCCGAGAAAGAATTGTGAAATTATCGTATAAATCGATAATTATTGTACAACTGGCAACGTGGCCAATACATAAGGGAAATAAGTCGATAATTTTGTATCTGGAACGAAGCAGGACAAATATATATGAAAATCAGAGAAACAATAAAAGACGGCATACAGCTGTATCACTGTTTCAAAAATTGGTACCTCTAAACAATCATTTACCTATTAAAACCATCTCTAAATACATTGTTTTATAAGGTGACATCTTAAAAATAGATGAACTATACAATTACAGGTATTCATAGAAAATCTCCAATTTGACAAATAAATTTACCAAATAGGTATTTGCTAATCGTATTTACACTTTGAAAAATACCCAATAAAATTTAGAAATATTTTAGCGGGATACTTGGAAAAATGTATAATGAAATCTCCTACTTTTTAGCTCTGGTTTTAAAATCACTTTTTACGATTTTTTTTTTAAATTCAGTGTATAAGCAGGATAAATAAAAATTAGGAGATTTCATTCTCCAAACCTTATACTTTAAGCTGGTAGAATATTCATTTTAATACATTTAGCGGGATTTAAGTGCAATCAGAAATTGTGAACCCTTGCTTCTTATAGGTAGAAAAAATACAGTGAAACTGTGGACTTAAAGCCTTAAACATAAATTGATGAATGCATTAAATTTTTTTAAAATTTACGTACTAATACTACACTTTCTACAAAATAAACCGTAATTTAAAGTTAGTTATTATAGTTTAACCATTGATTGCATACATCATCTAAAATTGTAGTTATCAACTAGGTAGGTATAACAAATCTACCTAAGTATGTAGGTATATAGAAGCATGACGGCACATCTCCACATATAATCTACTTGAATTATTGAAAAATTCATTCACCTTATATTGAATTGCATAAATATATACTTACCATTTATTATTTTCTTTGAGATATATTTCACTAACACTACCAACACTTATCATTAATCGCTTCTTGTTA